CCGGGGGGGGGGGGGGGGGCATGGCATTTGTAGTGCCCGGTACATGGAGAAGGCGCTCAGCGCTGCTACCGGGGCGACGTCACCCAGGCAAGGGTGTCGTCAGGACACGCGAGGGGCCTGGGTGTGGCGGGTCTCAATTTGAGACTGGCTGCCACGCAGCACCGGCTGCGCGGGCCATGGTGGCTAGATATCTAGCGCCTGGTAGTAAAATATCCTCATTGAAATCCCAGGTGGCCGAGTGAGCTGACGGGGCTGTACTGGGATCGGCGTCGGGCAGGGCCGCACCATAGCGCACAAAGAAGCCAGGGACGTGCTGCAGATAATTGGCAAAGTCTTCGGCACCAAGGTTTGCCGTGGGAAGGGGCTGAGGTTGACCACCGACCGCCAGCACCGCTTCTCGAGCCACTGCGGTCCAGCGTGGTGAGTTGATAACCGGTGGGACGCCATCAGAAAAGGTGGTCCTGGCTGATCCACCGAGTGTTGTGGCAGTTCCAGTGGCAATGGCTGCTACGCGGTCGAGAAGGAGGGCGCGTGTGTCGGCATCGGTGCAGCGAATGGTACCTTCGAGGACAGCGTTCCCGGCCACAACGTTATAGGCAGTGCCGGCTTGAAGGCGGCCGATGGTCACAACGGCAGGGCGGCCCGGGTCCACGGTACGTGCCACGAGTGTTTGTAGTTGCATCACAATGGACGAGGCGAGGACAACGGCGTCGACACATTGGTGTGGACGGGCGGCATGGCCAGCCTTGCCCTGAACCTCGATTCGCACGGTATCTGTGCTGGCGTTGACGCAGCCCTCATGAACAATGAAGGTGCCGCAGGGATAGCGGTTGTCGAGATGACCGCCAAAGACTGCAACCACATCTTCGAGAGCCCCGGCTTTGATCATTGCGGCGCTGCCCGTAGCCAATTCTTCAGCGGGCTGGAAGATGAACCGTACTGGGAGGGGTGGCGCTTCGCCAGCAATGAGGAGGCGCAGTGCGCCGAGTCCCATGGCGGTGTGGCCGTCGTGACCGCAGGCGTGCATGATGCCCGGTGATTGGGACGCAAACGGGAGGGCGGTGGCCTCTTGTATGGGCAGGGCATCAAGATCGGCACGAATGGCGATTTTTGGCCCAGCTGTGGAACCGCTGGCGTCGGGTACGTCGCAGATGAGGCCGGTGGTGCACAGGTCCCGCGGAGAGAGGCCCAGTGCAATGATTTGACGGCGCACATATGCAGCAGTTTGATGCTCTTGCCAGGAGAGCTCGGGATGCTCATGCAAATGCCGACGATCCGCACGGATGGCGGCTTCGAGCGTCGCCATGTCTAGCGATGCGGTCTCTGGTGTGTGCGGCATCGTCGATAGGTCACGACGCCCATGCACGAGCCACCCACGCCCCTGACCCAAGAAGGAACGTTCCACAAGGAGAAGCGAGCGTTTGACCAGCCCGCGGCGCCACATGGCCCCTGCCCTGCCCTCTGGAGTCTGGGTGCTGCTGCTCACCGTCTCAGTCACCGATCAGTCGAAGCGCACGGAAATTGTTTTTTTGCTCGATCGCGACGCCAGTCACTCAAGAAAACCCCCTCTCTGCGGAAGTGTGATTATAGTCACACTGAAACGATTGCCTCATCCCAAGTAGCGTGATGTGAGCTCGGATGGGCGGGATCTGATACACGTACCGTGTTCGTGTAGTAGATGCATGTATTGTGTCATCTCTGCTTCACAAAGTTACACTTTGGGTTGAATGTGTGACAAACACGTGTAGATCAAGATTATGACGCAGCAGCATTGCGCACTGTGCACCGCCAAAAGGGATCTGTTGAATGATTGCCACTGTCGCTCGTCTCCCCCTTCTGTTGGTTTGCCCCTTTGCATGTCTGTATGGGTCGAAATGGCAGCCGGGCTTGGGATGCTCTCGGGCTAGCCTGGCCTGGAGAGAAGGATGAGACTGCAAGGCAGAGGGCAAGCCATCTGGCCGTCGGGCCAAGTCGACACACTCAGCTCTCGTGGCGAGCCCGACGACGCTTTCTTCGGCTCCTTCTTCGCTCATCTTCTTCATCTTCTTCATCTTCTTCATCTTCTTCAACCCCCTGACTTCTCTCAACTCTCAATTCTTCTCTCTTCTCTCTCTCTCTTTGTCTCTCCTGTCTCTGTCTCTGTCTCTCTGTCTCTGTCTCTCTGTCTCTGTCTCTGTCTCTCTCTGTCTCTGTCTCTCTCTCCTCTCTCTCTCTCCTCTCTCTCTGTGTACTCTCTCTCTGTGCTGTGGGTGTGGTGTCTCTTTGGTTTGTGTCAACCTGGAGTTCAATTGTAGTAGTGAATAAGTGTTCTGCGCCATTTTCCCCTTCTGCCGGTTGGTTGGTCGTGGTGGCGGTCGTGGTGGTCGTGATGTGACTGTCCCGATCAAGTTGCCTGCCCTGTTCATCGTTCATCTGATTTGCCTTGGCGCGAGCTGTTTGGACGGTGCATGAAGCAGAGGCTTTTGATTGGCTCTGAGTACTGGTTTGCCCAAGCTGACAGTGCTTCCATATGACCTAGTAGACATTCCTTCGGGCCCAAGCCGCACCGCTGCCCCTTGGCACCCCTTCAAGGTCGGTCGTCCATCAAACCAGACTACCTTGTGTTGATCATGCGTTCGCTGGTGTGGGGATGCTAGTCCCTGTGGCCGTTTCCTTGCTGTCGCGGCCATCGTTTGTTGCTTTGCATCCTTGTTGCTGTTGAGATGCTACAAGCCAGCCTGTGTGAGGGACATCATCACGTGCTGGAGAACAAAGACGAGGAAGGCAGGCAGTGCTCAGGGCAGAGCGTCAGTGGTCCCCACTGATTTCACACTTGCTCCACCACCACCCAACCCAATTTGCCGTTGCATGCTATGCTGAAAAGCGTCCTTGAAACCTTTGAGCCCTCTTGCCTTGATGTTTGTTGCGAGCGTTTCTGCCCTTTGGCACGAGATGTTCAATTCCACCTGCTTTGGCTCCTCTCCGTCACCTCCTTTCTTCGTCTTCGATCACCCAAACACACTGGAGTTCTTTCTTGTAAAACCAGCCTCCCGCATAGCATCTGTGCTCATACGGTTCCTCCTTGCCGCCTCCCGATTGGTGTAGCCATCATCATGTCCATGTTGGTCCGTGCCGTTCGCGGCACCAGCCAGCCTACCCTGCTGGCCTCCCGCTCGATGATGAGTGCGGCCTCGCGCAGCAACCCGGATGCTTACGATGAGCACGGCAACCGCCGTGTGACCGTCGCGTACGGTGATGGCATCGGCCCCGAGGTATGCTGAATTCAAATCACCCCTAGTATGGGCTTGCCTCGTCGTGTTGCCAGATGATTCAATAACGCCACATCTTGTTCAACGACAGATCATGGAGGCAACGCTGCGCGTCCTCAAGGCGGCCGGCGCCAAGATTGCCCCTGAAATTGTCGAGATTGGTGAGAAGGTCTACGAGCGTGGCGTCAGCAGCGGTATCGACAAAGACGGCTGGGAATCCCTCAAGCGCACCAACCTCTTCCTCAAGGCCCCCATCACGACCCCTCTGGGTGGCGGTGTCAAGAGCCTCAACGTGACCGTGCGCAAAACGCTTGGCCTTTACGCCAACGTTCGTCCCGTCAAGTCGTACGCGCCCTTTGTGCCCTCGCTGCACGATAACATTGACATGGTTATCGTTCGCGAAAACGAGGAGGTGCGTGTTCATTCCTCTCCCTTCTCCATAGTACCCAAGAAAGCCAGCTGTCTCAAATAGTAGTGCTCTCACGGCTTGACCTGTATCTGTAGGATTGCTACGCCGGTATTGAGCATCGCCACACCTCGGAGGTGACCCAGTGCATCAAGCTGATTACCGTGCCCGGTACCGCCCGCGTCTGCAAGTACGCCTTTGACTATGCTTTGACCCATGGCCGCAAGCGCGTTTCGTGCATTACCAAGCAAAACATCATGAAGATCACCGACGGCCTTTTCCACCGCGTCTTCAAGCGCGTAAGTCTGTGCATCTTTCTCTCGTGTTTCTCTCTTTCTCTCTTTCTCTATCTCTCTCTTCTCCCTCTCGCTTGTGTGTTCCTCCTCCCCTCTCTCTCTCTCTCTAAACCGTCAAAGGCGCGCTGCAGCTGGTGGCACACCGCACGCCCTCACGACCGTTGCCAATCATGTAGACTGCCGACCAATACCCGACCCTTGAGAGCGAGCACCGCATTGTGGACATTGCCACTGCTCAGGTGGCCTCCAAGCCCCACCTCTTTGATGTGATCGTGACCCTCAACTTGTACGGTGATATCATCTCGGATGTTGCGGCCGAAGTGGCTGGCAGCGTCGGCCTCTGCGGATCGGCCAACGTTGGTGATCGTGCGGCCATGTTCGAGGCCATCCATGGCTCAGCCCCGGATATTGCTGGCATGGACATTGCCAACCCCTCGGGTCTGATCAACGGTGCCATCATGATGCTGGGTCACATTGGCCAGCGCGATGTTGCTGTGACCATCAAGAACGCTCTCCTCAAGACCATTGAAGATGGCATCCACACCGCCGATATCTACCGTGAGGGCAAGAACTCGAAGCAAAAGGTCGGCTGCCAAGCCTTTGCCGACGCCGTCATTGAGCGCCTGGGCCAGTTGCCCGTCATCCTGCCTGCTGAGGAAATCGATCTCGATTCGGACAGTGTTGACGTCCCCACCTTTGAGCTGCCTGAGCGTCCCGTCTTCACGCCCCCCTCCAAGAGCCTGGTTGGCTGTGACATCTTTGTTGACTGGGAGGGCACCGGTCGTGACCCCAACATCCTGGCCCAGCACCTCCAAGCCTGCGAGGGTGATCATCTCAAGCTCGAGATGATCTCCAACCGAGGCGTCAAGGTTTGGCCTGATGGCAACCCCAACACCTACAAGGTCAACCACTGGCGTTGCCGCTTCACCAGCAACAGCCGCGATCACCTGCCCTCAAACACTCACATCTGCGAGTTGATGCGCCGCATGGACAACTCTCGCCTTGATGTCATCAAGACGGAGAACCTGTATGATTACAACGGCGAGGCTGGCTACAGCCGTGGTCAAGGCCAGTAAGCGACCACCCGGCTCCTAAGACGCAGCGACCACTTTTTCGAGCCCCACGCACTCCACGCACGCCCTGTGTTCGCGTCAATTTTTTTTTTTTTTCCTTGTTTTGTGCAGCCTGTATTGTCTCTTCCCCACCCTCTCCTTGGCTGCTCTCAATCGTCCAATGCAATGCTTTCGTATAAATCTAGCTGTGATGGCGGATTGTCGCCGTCTGTGTGTCTGTTGACTTTGTCGCTTCTCGAAGATCGTGCCATGTACCCGTCATTGGTGGGTCGTGGCTTGTTTGCCGCCCACCACCGATAGCGTGTGCCTCATCCGTGCCTGTGCTTGTGCGTGAAATCCCCCACCATACAATTGATTGCCCCTCGAGGCTTAAGATTCGACCTGGCTCGCTCTCCTTTCGTTACGCGCGCGCACACACACACACACACACACACACACACACACACACACACACACACAATGACTGTTGGTCACTGTCTCGGTTGTCAGCAAAAACGGATGGGAGAAGAAATTGCCACGGAGATTCAGTATAAAGTTTGGCAGGAAAAAACACATCACAACTATTGTACAATTTTGTTCCCCTGCCACAAACCATCAAGGTAAGGACGACGACGAACCAGCACAGGCACAACGTGCCGACTGCCGTCGACCGCTCCCAAACGGCAGCGCGGCTGTGAATGTGGCCATCTTAATTGTCATTTGAAAGGGTGGGGGAGGCATGGAATGTTTCCACGGATAGTATGAAAGAGAGCAGAGATAGGGGATGATTGCGAGTCGATGAGTAACGACATGGCAGTGTCGTCTGTACCGGCAATCATCGCCTGCTTTCGGTCTAACGTCCATTCTATGCCCCACTGTGTGCATGAACCATTCATGTTGTAGATGTTTGCTGCTGTTCGTACTGCTGCGATGCGCGTGACCGGCTCGGTCCGCTTTGCTTCGGCCAAGGCTGCGGCGCCCAAGAAGGATATCGTGCGTGACACCTTCGCCGACAAGCTCAAGGAGTACGGCAAGAAGCACGCCAAGAGCCTGGACGACCGTGTTGCCCAGGTTTTGGCTGAGCGCATGGGTGTTGCCAAGAAGGCGTAAATGTCCCTTCGATTTGCCACCATCTGCCCATAATTGCCTCGATCTCTACTCTTTTTTTTTTTCCTTGATCCTCCAGCCTGGACAACCCTCAGGGCTGAGGTCCCCTACCACCCTGAAGAAGCCCCAGTGGTGCCTGCCCGTGCTGCGCTCGTGTTGGCGCTGTCATTTTGGCCAGGCCATCTAGATTGCACCATATGCAACAATGAGGATCGATGCCCATGATGACACATCCGTGACATTCTTCTCCCATCCCCACCCTTTCCCCCCGCCTAACTCCATGTTTGCTTGCGCTGCATGGAGCCTCAATCCAAGAATATATGCTCAGCAACTCGTCTCTTGTCTGTTCATCTTTTGCCTGGTCTCGAGAAGCAGGTTGCATCGCCAAGGGAGCATCAAATCGGCCATCTTCATGTTTATTTGTGGCAGAAAATGCGGGTTGCGCAGAAGCACATGAGGCTGGCAAGCCAGGCTCATGTGCTCAAGCCTCACTGCATGGAGAAACTGCGTTCCCAGATCCAAATCAAAAACAAAGCGAAACAAACAAAACGACCACACAATCCATTTACTAGTGGGCATGCACTTGGGAAACAGGCAATCAGCCAAGTCAGGAGGAGACCACAGGGCATTGTTCATTGTGCCAAAGCAGTCAATTAAAATTATTTATGAAATGAGTGAGCGGGTAATTTGCCAGTGAGCGCCATGGAACAAAACCCCAAATTGGCCTTCAATCTGGCGCAGATTCTCAGCTACTCCAAGCGTGGGCGCTACCTCCTGCAGCCACGAAGGCGCGAAATGCTGTTGTGCGCAGGTGACGGCATTCGCGCGCTCGAACGCCAAGGCCACGGCGCCATCCGATTCGACGCTTTGGACGCCAACAAGCACATAATCCTCCTTACGAGCGAGCTGCACAGCACGCCCGACAGCTCCGGGAGCCACCTGAAGTAATAGCAGCTCCTGCAACTTGTCCAGCGGCGAACTCGAGACACGGGTTGAGCGGCGCAAGGAGCCCATGCCCAACGCATCGACGGTCGACAGGTGTTGTCGCAGTGTCCAAACCAGCTCCTGTGCGGCCTCAAATGAAGAGCTCACTGTAACCCAAAGGGACAAGGTGCCCGAGCAAAAATAGAAAACAAAAGAAGCCCATCCCATCGACAAACAGGTCCGTCAGTCATTGCCAGCACTGACAAAGGCAGGTCTCGCCCGAAGCAGAAGCTGCATCCGAGGCGGGCAGAAACGCACCGGCAATGCCAATGTGGCCTCGTGCTTGAAGCTCCGTACGCAAGGCATGAAGGCGCTGCACGGCGTTGTTGCCCCCAATCAAAGCGACTACGACCGCGCTACCTGCGCCAAAGGCTGTGCTATCCATCTCTGCAAACCCGTCCTCATCCGCTGCAACCAGCATGCGTTGCAACGTCTCGTCTAGCGTCACCGTGTGCAGAGACTCGACCTAAGTGTCCCCATCGCCCAAAGCAATGGATTGAGTTCGAGACGTTCAGTTGATAAAGGCTGAGCTGTAAAGCCACGATTCATGGTTTCAGGCATCCAACCTCCTGGTTGTGATCGGTCAGGTAGTGCAATGTCTCGGCAATGGCCGCATCGCCCTGTGCCGTTCCAACAACACATACGCTTTCTGCCGCGCCGTACACGCGCGGCTCGAGCAATTGCAGCGGCCGTGGTGGGGCGAGACAGGGGCGGAACCACGTTTCCACCAAACGAAGCTCGTGCATGTGAAAGAGAGAGGACAAAGTTGTGGGGGCCTGCCAGGCAAAGCCCCGCCGCCTGAAAACACGATCACAGCACCCAAAGACCAGTCAATGAGTAACCTGTCCGGTAGGACTCGCTCTGGGGCAAAATTCATCAATCATACCGGAGAATCGGAAGGTCGTCTCCGTGTGCATGAAGAAGGGCGAATATGGACACGCCGGGTGCCGACAATTGAGCAACGCTTGCTTTCCAAGCAGACGTCCCCACTTCGCCCCGCGCCAGCGCTCGCACCTGACTGCGCGACAGCTAGGTGGCCAGACGAAGGAGTTAGCGCGATCGTACCACCAGACGCTCAGCATAGACCTTCTCAAGCTGCGGGACATACCTGACACACGCGCTTGAAACCCATGAGGTGGAACTTGGGCAAGGCATGCAGTTCGTCAAGTGCGGCTGCCATCACGTCAGGTGTGGAATCCACCAGCGTGGCAACGGCGACCACTGGAAGTAGAGCGTCAAGTTGCTCAAAGGCACTGCTGAGGCGCCCCGATTGAGGTGGTGCGTGTGGAATCTCTGCCAGCTGCGCTTGAAGCACAACAGCAAGCTCATGTTCATCCAGCACCCGACGTGGAATGCTTGCTCCTTCGACGTTGTCTCCCACCACGAAGCGGAGGCTAAGCACGACATTTGCCAAGGTAGCGTCTCGCAACCGCTGGCGAAGCGCTGTCCGCCGCTGCCACAAACCCAAACCCTGGCACGACACCAGGAAGATGGAACGGGGCGTTGCTTCAGGCAGGAGACTTGCTGCCAATTCCTTGCTCAAGCGCACGTATCCCGCGGTCGCAATACCGATGCCTGCAGCCACCCAGACAGCAGTCATCAACACACTTGTTGACCGGTCCGCTCAGCAGCAAACCCTCTCAAAGCAATGGATGGCATTCTAAGATCACGTACCCTCGGCCACAAGCGAACAGATGGCACGCCGGACCAGATCAACAGTTGCGACGCTTACAAGTAAAACCAGTCCTTCTAAATCTGGGGTACTCAGCAGGGTTGGGACGCCTTGGTACCTGGCGATAATCATTGCGGCCACGCGTGAGATGGGATCATTTGCCCAGCTGCATCGGACAAGCCAACCGTGTCCTGGCAGAAAACAGCAGGAAGGAGCGATAACCAATGCCTGCGTGGCGTACTCTTTGAGTTGACGCTCGGTCCAAATACGGGGCCCAAACGCGGTGATAAGGTCGGCAAGCGCCTGGTAACTATGATGAGTAGCACGGACACAATCCCCGAATTGATGCCCAAAGCGAGCTCGCAGGCTCTCTATGTCGCAAAAACCCGTGTGATGGCAGACGAATGAGAAAAGCAAGGCGCCATGAAAGGACGAGTCCGAACAGATGCGAGCAGACAAGAGAGAAAGCGCGCGCACACACACACACACACACACACACACACACACACACACACACACACACACGCGCGCGCGCGCGCGCGCCCGTGACAATCAAAGGAAGGAAGAAGCTACCATTACCCTCGCAAGACTAACCAGGAGCAGTTGCTGCCGCGACAGCCAGATCTGCTGGACCAACAGAATTCGTCAGACGCTCCACCACGCCATTGCCGTAGACGGCCAGGGCTAACCAGGGCACCTCGCTCCGGTAGACCAGGCGGCAGCCAAATAACGCAGCGCTATGGGCCTCAAGGACGGTCAGGCATTCAGCGAGCAAGGCTGGCTCACACTGAGCTTCGAGCAGAGCCACATCGTGCTGCAGGTTGGAGCCATTGTTGTTTGGGGCTATGCGTGCATCACAGGCGTGGGAAAAGCTCGCCCAAGCTTCTGAAGGGGTTGCAGTCACGCCATCAACGGCGGCGGCAATCACTTCCTCTTGGGCACCTAAGCGACTTCCGTAAGAGGCCTGCTGAAGCCGATGCCGCAGGCGCTCCGTGGTGACTTCCAAGGACTGATCAGATCGCAATAGAAAGGTCAAATAAATACGGCTACTGGGTGCCCGACAGACTTGAAGCGCTGTAAGCTGCAGCGCCTCGTTGTGCAAAAGCATGGTCAGCGGCACAATGATAGCCCCAATGCAAGAAAGCGACAAGCCCGTCAAGTCAAGGCGAAAGCGGTGGTCGGCACAACGGTCCAAGTCGGCACTGGCTAGCGGGTAAACTAGGCCAAAATCTGGCTGCGTGAGGGTAATGTTGGACTGGTGCAAGCTGAGTCCACAGCCACGACGCTGATCAAGACGCTGCAACGCCCTTTGAGTGAAATCGCTCGCGCGCTCTCTGCGTGGCAAGCCTTTGGGCAGCGCGGCTGTTTCGGGATCACTAGTAGTCTGTAGCAGAAGCCGCAGGGCCTTGCTCTTGTCGGTGGGCTCGGCTAGAGTGGAGCCGGAATTGGCCGTGTCACCTTCGCTCACGACATTCTCGGACGCTGTGGCACCCGAGGTAGCCACGACATTTGTGGCGGACGCAGTCTCGGTGGCAGCAACGTCGAGCCCATCATCTGGCGGCCTGTGTGCTATGCCAGGGCTTTCTGATTCCACTTGGGGGTGTGCGTCGGAAGAGGGCAGCGTTCGACTGGCACGACGCATTCGTACCACAGTGGGGCGAGAGTGAGGCGTGCGCGTCAATCGCGCGCTCGCCTCGGCAGTTTCCAAGGAGAAGAAATGTAGAGAAGGATTAAAGTGCACGTGACGATCGCGGTGTGTGCTCGGGCTTGGGTTTGAGGCCACCCCGTTGCCCAAGGGTTCCTGCCTCATTTTTGCATCTTCGTCGCCCAACGGGTTGTGTAAGGCACGCGTCGATGAAGAGGTACGTCCGCGAGCTTGCTGTGCCGTGATGGGACCAGCTACGCGGCCACGCAGCTGCCGCCGTGCTTGGAGCAAAAGGTCGTCATCATCATCATCATCGTCATCCTCGTCGTCATCCTCATCTGTATCGCTTTGAGCAGTGGCCTGTGCACCCTCACCCGGGCCATGATGCCCCATCGCCTGCTGGGCATTGGGGGTCAATAGCATGCGAGCCCGCATTGTGCGACTGGGCTCGCGATGCCGATCATGGCCAGCCGTGGTGATTTGCCTTGAGGATCGGGCTGCAAAACCATGGCCACCTTGCTGCACGCACGCCTTTGCTGGCCCTGGTGACGACGCGGCTGACACTGGGGTGCAACTGGGCCTGATTGGCGCGGTGGACGGAACCGTGAAAGAAGCAAGACCACTCATGTCAGGCAGCTCCAGCCGCAGCGCACCAAGGCCTGGAACTGGTTGGTGCTCGGCAGCCACTTGGGACGCCAGGGCAAGAGCAGCTGGGTCGGGACGTGGTCCAAGAAAAGCATTGAGATCTGCGTCGACCTCGCTTGGATCTGGACCCAGGAAACGATCCGGCGCTATGCCCGCAGCGGTGTTGGGGCTGGCTATGCGAGGGCTATCGGCTGCATCGACCTGGCGTTTATGGGAATTGGATTGTTGCGTGTCAGCACCAGCGATGGACCCCACCTCACTCAGTGAGTGAGTCGGTGAAAGGGCGCGGATTGAGGTCGCACGGGAACTGGATGGTGCCAAAGCGTCCTTCCAGTCCCAGTCTCCACCTCGTTGAAAGATGCCAATGTCAGGTTCAGAGGCTGTCTGTCGGGCCGTGAGCGAGAAGAGGGCACAAGACAGGGGGAAGATGACCATGAGAGATTAGCAACGATGTGATCCAACCGATATCATGCTGCAGCTTAGCTTTGCGCAAGGCCCTGTCAACGCCCTGCCAACGCCTCAGGCACAAGAACAGGCAAGACGAGCGCGGGTTACCTCGTCATCACTGCTCAACGAGGGCAAATCCAGTGAACCCAGGCCGTCCATGGCGCCGTCTGGCCTCCACTGTGCGCCAGCCAAGGCGCGACTTCAATTTCCTTGAAAACTTTGAACTCGCCTGGCGAAGCCACGGCTGGACAGAGCTTGTCGGAAGCAAGCCAGAAGGCCGTAAAGGAAGAGCTGAACTGAAATGCTCGCTTGACGGTGACGGGCTGCGGCAGCTGAGAAGTTGCAGTCTGAAATCAAGGATGGAGGTATGCCGCCCATTCGATGATGGCTCCACAGGCGGTCAAGCTAGCTACTAAAATTGCCTCACGCTCGCCAAATGCACACCCTTACCCTCCCGTTGCCGGCAACGTCGCCATCAACCAGCCGGAGAGCTCGGTCGGACCTCGAATCCTGCACTCTTGCTGTTTGGGAATTGAACTCTGTGTGTGTGTTCGTTAACGACCACACACACACACACACACACACTCTCTCTCTCTCTCTCTCTCTCTCTCTCTCTCTCTCTCTCTCTCTCTCTCTCTCTCTCTCTCTCTCTCTCTCTCTCTCTCTCTCTCTCTCTCTCTCTCTCTCTCTCTCTCTCTCTCTCTCTCTCTCTCTCTTTGTCAGAGAGAATTGGGTTATGGTCACTGAGTTCGGTACCGCGTTGGCGCTGACTCACTTGCGTTACTTTGCTTGGTGGGAGGCGACGGGGGGGGTGAGGGTCGACTGGACCGCTGACGGTTGTCGTGACCCGTCACAACCGCAGGATTTTGAGGCACCCGCGCTGCCGGACAGATCAGCCTGAGAACGAAACCATGGCAACTTCTCAGTCGCCACGCGGAAGCTCGCTGAGTGGGCTGAACAGGCGTACTACCATCTCCTCCCCCCACGCGGGTCTGAAGCAGCGCACCGCCTCGCGCATGTTTTCTGTCATGCGCCATGGGCCGCGCCGCACGCTCTCCATTGCCACGGCCAGTGCACATGCAGCCGCTAAAGAACTGCCCATGTATGTGTTGCAGCGTCATCGCGAGGGTGGCGGTGGCCTCTTCACCTACAACACGACGCGCACCACCGCGGTGGCCGGCGATTTGCCTTTTGCTCGCCTAGACTCCATCACGGCCGCCCGCGATCCGCGTCAAGGTCGAGGTGGAGGGATCTCAGCCGCTGAAGCCGCTAGTGCACTCCGACGCCAACGTCAATTGAAGAAACAGAGTGCATCCCCCACATCATCACCAGCCTCCACAGCCCCCACCAATGCGCCGAGCAACGAGGACTCGGGCATGGCCGAAGTGGAACAAGTGTTGGAGCTGGCTGCCAGCCTTCTCAATGAAGAGGACGATTGTGTGCTGGCCTGCAAGCTTCATCAACTCGATTCGGATATGGAAACGGCTTCAGACAAGCGCTTCTTCCTGGCTCTCATCCGACACTCGGAAAACCAGGCCTGCATCCTATGTCTGAGTCGCCAAGCCGAGACTCCCGCTGAGCCCATTAAAGACGGCGACCATGCCTTCCATGTCGATCATGTTGTGCCCATTGGCCGGCAAAGCAACTTTAAACTTCATGGTGATGGCACATTCACCTTTAATAACATCCTTGACCCCCATCAAACGAACGAGGTGCGCTATTGATGCGTGGGGTTGGCTTGGATCATGACAACATTGCCCCGCCTCTCCCTCCTCCTCCTCTCACCGAGTACCTAACAGCTCATGTGGCATACATCCCGTCGGGACGCGGCTTTTTATCATCCCATACCTGTATTTCTTTTTCTTTTTTCTTTTTTCTTTGTCTTTTTCTGGTGGCGGCGCTTGTAGACGTTTCGCTTCAAACTCGCTTCAGTCCTCTCCCTCTGGACCGCGGTTGCTGCCATTAGTGGTTTTGTCGAGCGCGCCAAGGCCAGCGAAGCTGACTGGGGTTGGACCCGACACTACCTGCCCTCCAAGGATGCCCCCCCAGCCCTCTCCAGCTTCCTTGCTGACACCAGTGCGCTGGATGAAACCTCTTCTGCGGTGGGTGTGTATGTACCGCATCCACACCACACCGTCGCTCAACAGAAAACCTCACTGCGCTTGCTTTCCTGCTCGTTGAATCTGGGGTCGAATAGGACGATAACTCAGAGCCATCAACACCGCGACCCTTCGAGGAGCGCTCGGAGGATGAGTGGCGCCGGCTTCTGCTTCCAGAGATCAAGAAAATCATTGCGGCCAGCGATCTTGACACCTTGACAAGCAAAGAGGTTGGTACATTGCCACTTCCTCAGTATCGGGAGAACCTTCACATATTTTTTGCTTCAACCAGAGTGACCTCATTTAAACCCCGCTTCCTACCTCAGGTGCGGTTGGCACTGGAGCTCAAGTTTGGGCGAACCTTGAAGCAGTTTAAAGGCTACATCGACGAGCAGATGATTGTTGCCTTTGGCCAGATGGCCCCTCCTTCCCCCATCTCCGACCTCATCTTCTTGGGTGCGCCGGACTTGTGCACACTCCATCTGCTTCTCCGCCCCACACGAAGTGGACTCGAGCCTGCTTGCACTCACATGTTTATTCCATGGCCGCTTGACACACACACACACACACACACACACACACACACACATACAGGCACTGAATGGAATGCCTGCAACCTGGAGGAGCTGCGCGAAAATGGCTGCTCCCACATTCTCAACGTGACAGAGGTACGCGGCGTGTCATAGCAAGGGAGCACCATAGAGCAAACGCCGTGTCAGGCGTGCCCACACCCGTGCCCATGGTTGTGGTCCTGACCAATGCAGTACCTGTGGCTGTGCTTAGGAAGTACCCAGCTACTTTGAGCAAGACTTTGAGTATCTGCGGATATCGCTTCCAGATGAGGAAACGGAGAATTTGCTGCAGCACTGGAATCGCACCTTTGACTTTATTGAACTTGCACGTGCAAACGACTCGCGCGTTCTGGTTCATTGTAAAATGGGTGTGAGTCGCTCGGCTTCGACGGTGATGGCATATCTCATGCGTTTTCACGGGTATGTCAGCACGTACCACCCTCACCGCTGCCGCCTTGACGTGATCTTGAAACTTTCTCTGATGCTCCTTCGCTTTCGAAATGACGGCCCTCCTCCTCGCTGTTAATCCCATTAGCTGGACGCGCGACCATACTTTTGAATACGTACGTGAGCGCCGAAACGTGGTGCAACCCAACAAAGGATTCTGGGAACAGCTGAAGGTACTTCCTTTTCCTTTTTTTTTTTTTTTTTTTTTTTTCTTGTTTTCGTCGACTTATTTCTTCTACCTTGTTTTCACCTCTCTTCGCTTGGTGGACTCACCCCTCACCCTTGCGCTCTGTACCAATAGGAGTATGAGCAATCACTGCACCTCTGACCACAAGCGTGTCACATCCTTCCTTGACACAACCCAAAGGGCTTGGCTGTGCGTTTTCATGTCGTACATTAATTTTTTTTGGTTTCGCGTTTTTCTTATCTTGTTCGGTTTTGTTTTGTGCTTTCACCCGACCTACAACGCACTCGACTGCATTGCTGCTTGGACCAACCTAATTCATTCCAAAAGGAGAAGAACAAATGGTTCAAACCTTTTTGAGCCTTTCTGGCGGTGCACATGAAAAAAGGAAAGGGGAGACGAGAAGACTGTAATGATATCCTCAAGCCTTAAATTGGCACATAGAAAAACCACCAACAAAGGGCCTGGGTGTTGATAGCACGGGCGCGCAACCGTCTGTCATGGCTCGGGGAGCACGCTTATACCGAGGTCTGGGGCTTGGGCTCGACAAACTCGCCCGACTTGGCAACGGTCTTGCCCTTGTCAGCGGTGACACCACCGGCCTCGCCGTGGAGCTCGAGGAGCTTGGACACGTCGAAGCGGGGCTTCTTCAGGACCTTGACCTTGCGGATGTACACATCCTGGAGGGGGAAGATGGACTGGCACTTCTTCTGGATCTCCTGACCGATGGTGCCGGGCATGAGCTTGGAGACGAACTCCTTGAGGTCGCAGGTGGCCTCACGCTGCATGATCTCGACCATCTTGGCGCGGAGAGCGCGCTTCTGAGCAGACTGAGCGTAGCAGGTCTTGCGGTCGCTGTTGGCCTGCTTCTTGGTGAAGCCAATGGAGAAGATACGCAGAACGTAGCCGTCGTTGGTCTTGACATCAACAAAGGCCTCGATGAGCGAGCGCCACTTCTTGACAAGGCTACGGAGCTTGTCCGTGGTGAGGCTCATGCCGTGGAAGTTGGTCAGGCACTCGGTGCCCTGGATCTCCTCGACCTGGAGCTTGACCTTGCGGAAGGTCGACTCGTCGTCGTTGAGATCGGCCAGGGACATCTCGTACACGCGGCCACGGAGACCGTCAGCAGACAGCTTGGTACCAGCGGTGCGGTTCACCGGGGTCTTGCCAACTTGGCGCTAAAAAAAAAATTACAAAACGAAAAAAAGGTGAGGCCGCAACCGTAAGGAAAAGGAACCAGGCACGCATGAGCCTCGCTTGACACAAATGCCCCGTACGGGCAATTTTGAAGCTCATCTGAATCTATCCGCACCCAGATGACACAACGAGAGCTCAAAAGTGGGAAACGCACCTTCTTGAAGTAGGAAGGGGCCTTGACGTCATACCACTCCTTCTTGGTGAAGACATCAACGACTTTCTTCTTGCCGCCCTTCTTGCCCTTCATGAGCTTCTACTCAAATCCATCATCCCAGCAGCAGCAGCAGCAGCAGCATTGGCACAGAGATCAGTCACGAGCCAACCAAGACATCGAGACATCAATGTGGGAGCGTGACTCTTGTATCATGCCCATGCCCGCCATGAAACACCTTCCCAATTCTCCTAAAATCCATGCGTATTCACGAAAGCGTCCCTGCCCCTGCCCCTGCCCCATGGACCCCGAAGGCCAGCCACGCACCTTGTTCTTGCCGACAGCCATGTTGGCGGTTTAAACAAGCTGAAACAACGTGATCAATCGGGCGCCAATTCCGCGACGCGCGCAACATAACCAAGAAGCGGGTCAAGGAGCAAACGAGACATCATGATGAGGAAAGGCGACATGGACCAACAGCAGCACAATGCAACTCTCAACCACCGACACCACGCGCCCCAGCCCAAGCCCAAGCCCAAGCTCAGGACGGCGACCTGCGGTCTGTATTCATCCAACGTCTGTCAAAGGCGCCACGCGTTGATCCGACTTCCAAAGGCGGCGGCAAGGGAGAAACGTCAACGTGCAATCTTCTAGCTCGATGCTAACACGTCTGCTCCGCAAACCGCCGCCATCGGGAGCATGGGCGGGCCAGGGACAGCGCAGCCGAGCGCATCAACTCGCTTGGCCAGGGCTGGCGGTCTCGGTGGGACAGGGCTGAGCAAAGCAGGGGGTGAGCAGGTGATACCAGGATGAGAAAAGTGCTGCCACACGAGAGTTGACTTTGAATTGTTTCCACGTGATAAATCCGCATCGAGCGATAGAGAAAACAGGGGGTCAAAACATAGTATTGGAATTTACATGGTGGTCATTGTCAGATAGAAATAAATTTGAATGTCAGAAAATGAATCCGAAGAAAACAAAAATGCCGGCCTGGCATTCTCGAGTCGAGCCAGACCACTGCACGGGCGTCACACATGGCAACCTGCACCACTAGCGCCATGATTGGTGGCAACGCAACGCATAGCAGCACCATGCTGCAATGCAATAATATAATGCTTTGGTGTGGTGATCAGAGGGCCTGGTAGATTGCACTCCGTTTACAAAGAGGGAGTAGGGCTCGATACTAGAGAGTCAGACATATTAGTGATTATCTCCCGGTCACCCGTGTTACGGTCTTGCTCGTTGCGAGCGCTCTGGGTTTGTCAAACCAAGCAGGTAGTAAAGTGAGGGCGACACATTGTGCCTAAAAAGGCACCCCCAATGCTGCGATTGGATGGGCCGCAGGTGGGCCGCAGGTGGAGCACAAGGCATTGACAAACCTGGGCTCCAATGACGGCAACTTCCGGCGTCTCCAACAACCGCTTCAACTGCACATTGCCCCCACATGCGCACGACCAGCCAGAGAAATGTGATCCGCATCCCAAGACATGATTAGCAAGTCGTTGTGAGTTGTTGAGCACCACTGGCTCACTGTGCAGGCAGCGAGATGGCGACACACCAGCCTGCCAAGAAGCGATGCTTACCGTGGCCTCGCGCTGTGTCTCGCGACGATGAAGTCGCACGAGCGACCTCTCATGACTTGTACGCTCAGCTTTCACAAATTCGGTGACTGGCAAGACATACTCCATGGCGACCCGTGCCCTAGGCTTGATTCACGACCGCGCTCCTCCTCAGTCAACAACAATGGCCTAGAGGCCACCTCTCTTCCGCTTTCTCCACTTTGCCGCAGCGGGCGAAGCAGGCGTTCAATGCGATGTACTCAAGCAGTCAACACTCGCAATTCCAGACCCTTCTTCGTAAAAAAAAAATTGAGCTCTGCGATGCTTGTGATGGCATTGGTGCGAAATGTCAGGCAAATCGTGCCAAACTGTAGATTCTGATACGCTTTCTTCCTTCGCGGGAAAATTCAAATGGAAGGGTCGGCGCTTTTTTCTTCATCTTCATATCTGCATGTTATTTTTTTTTTTTTTTTTTCTGATGCTTTGATGCTTTGAAGATTGGGGAGTTGGCTCAATCCTTACATGATGGAGCGTGCACAGTTGGAGGCTTTGTCGCGGCGTGAGCTTCAGTCCCTGGCCAAGAAAGAGGGTATCCGCGCCAACGCAAAGGTTTGTGTCTCTTCACGGTCAATCGCTTTGCGATCTATCCGAACGTTGCTTCACAGAGGCCTGTCTGTTGTAGTCGAGTGAGATCATCAACCAGCTGCTTGACAGGGCATCGTCAACTCTTCCAGACGCAGTCGCCACCATCCCAGCTGATCGAGATGAGGGGACAGACGACACAGATAGCGAGCTCGAGACCGCTGACGCTCCCATGTCCGCCGCGCCGGGGCTGTCACCCCAAGAGCCTCAGACTCCAACGCCACACACGCCTCGTCGGCCCTTGGCCACGCCCCGTAAGCTTGCCCCCCTGGCGCTTGAGCATGAGCATCGTTGAGCAACTGCCGCATTGCGCCGTACGACAGCACAATGGATGCGCACTGTCTTGCCTCACCTTCCCCTATCACATACTTGCAGGCTCTGAAGCGCGACGAAAATGGTGTGACAGTCCAAAATGTATGCAGATCCCAGTCATGCCCACCATTCCGAAGACATCTCAGTCACCCAGCATGAGCCACAGCAAAGTGAGCGGAACCAGGCTGTCTCGAGACACCTCAGTCTGTCGACGCTGCCTCTTAAAAGTTTTCGCTCTTCAGAATGAGCCTCTGGTTCAGCGGGCTCCAGCTCACGAAAAGTCCTGTAACCCTCCCCTTTGCACTGATTCACCTCAGAGCGAGTCATTGCGTTCGGAAATTTTTGCCGAACTGGCCTCGCGCTTGGCTGCCAACCCTCGCACCCGACACTCCAGCCGAGGCAAGCCGGTGGCGCAGACGGCAGGCACAAGCAAGACCCATGCACGTACGCTTCTCTCGTTTCCTGACTGTCCGGCTTTGGTCGCAGGATCAAGCTGCGTAGCAAAAGACTAACCTGTGCCATCATCAACCGGCTTGACAGACGATGAAAATATTCCCAGCTCCGGCTCGCAACTGCAACAGAAGTTCGACCGTCAGCACGCCAAGCTGTAAGCCGCCCTTCTGTCTTGAAGAGAGAGTATCTCCTCTGGGTGGCAAGCGATACAATAATGCAAGCCTACTGAGCAGCAAAAATGGCTTGCCTTGGTCCAGACAACCAACTACCTTAACGTCTCTCACATGGCCCCATCCAACCTGTTTGACTTGCGATGGTATGCTCATAGACGAGGCGAAGGAATTGAAGCGTGGCAAGACCGTCGCAATGCACGCGCTGCCAAGCTTCTCAAAGGCGTATCCGTCAGTAGCCGTCTCTATCGTGCCTCAACCACAAAGAATGGTGGGAAAAAGGCACCCCAGGTGCGACTGTGACCGCAATTTGTTTCAAGGCTATGGAAGCACGAACGTGTCGATGAGTTCGCAGCTGATGACCAGACTTTACTCAATGAACCTGAGCTTAGGGCAAAGGAACAGAGAAGAAGCTTGGCGCAAGCACCAAGGCACCCATGAAGCGGCAAGCCGCCTCCAAAGGTGCCGCCGGTTCAACTCTGGTCAGATATCTGAGTTGTCTGCTTCTGCGTGTGGCTTGCACTCTCCGCTATTGTTTGAAGCCAGTCGATTCTCCGCCCTGTGTATGACGGCATGAGTTCATCTACAGTGTTGTCATGACATCCAGAAACGAGCTGTAGCAAGCAATTCCCTTTCAAAGCCACGACAGGAGAAGCTTGCTGCTGCTGTTCAAGCATCGCTGGCCGCGCATGAGACCAGCATCAGTCAAGTGCCAAGTACGCGTGTCTTGCTTTGTACTCTTGAACAGGGCGTGCTTTGTTTGTTTGTCTGTTCGTTTCTTCAAGGTTTTTTTTTTTTTTTGCGGTTTTCCTACTCGTCACCCACCTATGTCTGTGCTCGCGTGATGGCATAGGGAGCTCGCGAAAGCACGCCAGTCTGCGGCAGTCAATTATCCAACCAGTTGACGAGTTGACTCTTAAGCGACAGGCAGCTGCGGAGCGGTCAGTTCAAGCCTGTGTGTTAGCCAAGGCTACCAATGAGAACTTGTGTTCGCTCGTTTCTTTGACCAGCCTCATTTCACTCTGGCATGACACATTGCTTGCGGGCTTGATCAGGCGCCAACGCATGCTGAGTTATCGTGCCCCTCGGCCCACGCCATCCAAGGCTAGCGCCAAGTAGATGCCACCTGCATCTGCGGCTGGCCCCAAGCTTTACCAGGCCTCTGCATCGAAGGAAAATTGGATGAGCTTTGACGTGGCTGATGCTGGGTCAGCAGACTCATCTCGCGCTTCTGTGTTATGAAGAAAGTTTGACACGTGCGATTGTGAATGAATTTATTGATGAGCTTTGAGCCTTTTTGGCCATTTTCCATTTAACCGATCCGAAAGACGGCCGCACGCAGCTTGGACAGGTTGGCATCATGCCACAAGACGAAACAACAAACAACAGACACTTTTTGTGCCCTCAGCATGGAGGCTTGCACACTAGCGGGATTTCTCTAGGGTATGACTGACGGCCACGACTGGACGCAAAGGTGGGACCAGGAAAGGAGCAGGCCGGGGCTGCAAGTCGGGGCAGTTCCCTGGCATGTAAAAGGTGCTGGTGTCACAGCAGGGCTACTTGGCTGCCAGCTCTCGCAGGTCTGACATACAAACGGGGCAAACTTGACTCGTCTTGAAATGCTCGCGAATACACTCATCATGAAAGCCATGATGACACAACAAGAGGCGCACTGCCGTTGAACCAGCCATGGTATCCAGGCAAATGCTGCACTCTTCTTCTAAGGCTTTGGAAGTGAGAAATGAGACGGCATCGGGATCGTCTATTCCAATGCGCACATTATCGTCGTCCAAAGCCAGTAGAGCTTCATAGTTGTTCTCCTCGAGAGCGCGATCGATATCGGCTTGGGATGATCGTGATGGCCTTGCGGTAGATGGGGAGGTATTCTGTAACCTGTGCCTCTGCGAGAGGAGAGATGTCCTCACGGGCATGCACGCAGGGGTATACGCGCTAGCTTGCGTAGCTGACGCGGCCGGCATGGACCGAGCAGGTACAACGGCTGATGCGGCAGACAAACCGGCCTCTTCATATTCCTGAGCCTGGAGTGCCTCAGCCAGTTTTTCATCAGCCGATACGGCAGACAAGGGCCGGGCGCTTACCACGGCCGATGCGGCAGATAACCCGGCCTCTTCGTATGCCTGGGCCTGGAGCTCCTCGGCCAATTTCGCATCAGCGGTGCTTGCACAGGACCGCTCGTATTCTTCGGCTTGCAACGCGCGAGCAAAGGCTTCATCCTCGCTGCTTTGCATGTCTAGCGCCGAACGCCATGTTTCAAACCCATCAAACCCAACTGACATGACTACCCTTCAGTGGATCGCACCGATGTCGCCTCCACCGCTCGTCGCCGCTTTGCCTTGGAAAAACAGCCCAATCCTGCTTCCATCAAGTCACAATCCCTCCACCTCGTAAAAAAAAACAGATCCGAAGACCTTTTTGAGTCCGAGCCAGCGACCAGTTGTCAGAATGTCATCCTTTCTCTCATTGTCATCCTTTTTCGGTTCATTGTTCGCAGAGGAGCACGAGCTAGCTGGACTGTTTATGCTTGCGTTGTGCCTTTGAGCTTTTGTTGATGTGTGTCAGCAGCAGCAACAGCAGCAACAGGAGCAGCAGCAGGAGCAGCAGCAGTCGTACTAGTTTCGGGACTGGTACATCACACGACCAAGTGGCTGCTCGATTCAAGAGGGGAAGGGCTGGCAAAGGGTGTGCGCCAGCTTTGACAGGCTGGTGTCGGTGTCAGTAGACATGGCCCTCTTTGGTCATGACGAACTTGTGAAATCAGGCTGGGGTACGTCTTGGTTTTCGGTTTCGGCTCCTTCCCAGCAGAGACATGTCCCGCCACACGCGCCTGCGCCGCAAACCCGTAGCACCCAGTATCTTGACCGGCACAAAGGCTACTCGACTCTGGCTCATGTTGTTGCACATCCTTCTGCAAAGGTGTAAAACGAGGTCACGTGCGAACCTCCTGGAAGAAGCGCTTCTTTACCCTCACAAAGTCGGCCATCTTTGCCTATTATGCCGACGAGTCGGCTCGCGCCGGTGACAAGTCCAAGGTGAAGAGCGACCTCATCGAACCCCAAGCTCCCCACTTAGCGTGCATCAGGACCAGTCTCCCATGAGGGTCTCTCACTTCGGAACATGTGCCACCTTCAGGGCTCCGTTCGGCTCCTCGGTTCTGGTGTCGAGATACTTGGACCACGCGAGCTGCGCAGTGATGTCAAGTGGCCCAAGGCCGCTCCCGAGGTTCGCCAAGCCACCCAGCACACTGAATCACCCAAGTGTTCTGAACCGCATCTCCACCTTTGTTTCTGCCTCTCACACAATGTGGCCCGTTCGCGCAGAATGCGCGCCTCCAGATTGTTGTACCCAATCGTATCTACAGCCTCTACTTTGATACTGGCACAGAATGCGAGGCCTGGCTGCTACATCTGCGCCAAGTCACCGGTCGACTGAAGCTAGCAACCAATGCCGGCAGCAACACCAGCAGTAGCACCCAGGTCTGCTGCGCTACCCTGCTGCCGTGCTGCTCCTTTTCCTCAGAATAGCCGGCTCGAAACGCCAGACAAATTTTGTCACCAGAGCCCCCTGTTCGCGTGATGAAATGGTCCTTTCTTTGCACCCTGCGTAGGCGCAGATTGAGGACGATGCTTTGCAACACGAACTGCACCAAACTTTACAGACACTGGTTGCTCAGCCAGGCAACAACACCTGCGCCGACTGCCATCGCTCAAGTTTGTATAGCTCGCACATGCCCACAGCTTTCATCACCTCGCAGAGCTTTGGCTTCAGCTCATCACGAAGCCATCCGCCTCGTATCGACTCCCTCCCAGAGCCAACCTGGGCTTCATGGAACATTGGCGTCTTTATCTGCCTTCATTGCGCCGGTGCCCATCGCTCGCTCGGCTCACACATCAGCAAGGTGTGTCTTTTCCGATTCTCTGGTCTCTCCGTCTCTCCGACTCTCTGTCTCTCTGTCTCTCTGTCTCTCTGTCTCTCTGTCTGTATGTCCCTCTGTCTCTCTGGTCTCTCTGATTCTCTGGTCTCTCTGATTCTCTGGTCTCTCTGATTCTCTGGTCTCTCTGATTCTCTGGTCTCTCTGATTCTCTGGTCTCTCTGATTCTCTGGTCTCTGATTCTCTGGTCTCTCTGATTCTCTGGACTCTCTGATTCTCTGGACTCTCTATCCCTCTGTCCCTCTGTCTCTCTGCTTTTTCCATTGTTGCACCGCTGTCGGCTGGTCATGATTTTTCTGCCTCATTTCGCTCATCCAGGTCAAAAGCATCGCTCTGGACACGTGGAGTCGGCAACAAGTCGGTGATATCAAAAAAAAGGGCAACAATGCAGTCAATGCTGGTTCGAAGACTCGATCCCGTCCTCGTTGCAGGCATGCCCCTTGCTGCCGTGCTCTTTGGTCAGACTCTTATCCTGGACGAACGATGGTGACAAAACATTTTAGTGTACGAGGCAAAGCTGGAGGCCAGTTACGCGCGCCCTATGGAGCTGGACGCTGGTCTGAGCGACTTTATTCGTCGCAAATATGTGGATCAACAAGTAATGCTTTCTCTTGCCGCCTAATGCTCTTGGTGTTCGCCGGGCTGGGAACTGAGCGTAATTTGTTCATCGCCCATGCTCTTGCATCTGCCATCGCCCAGTGGGCTGCAACAGCTGAAGCCGGTGAGCAGCTTCACCCCAATTCAACGTCACCCTCGTCACGCGACGACCAGACCAAAAACGCTAACCCATTTGCCAACGATGCCGGCAACGCCTCTGACAGCGACTTTGATCCTCGAGCTAACGAGGTGAGTCAGGCCCGTCTCTGTATTTTTTTTTTTTTTTTTTTTTTTTTTTTTTTTTTTTGTTGCAGTGGCTTCCTGTCCGTGAAAGACGATAGTCCTTCCTTTTTCCACTCAGACTGGACTATCATGCTCATCTCGTGTGTTCCTTGCAGTCGGACGCACGCGTCCTTGCCACCATGCAATCCGAAGCGGCTGCTCTACATGCAGCCAACGATCCTATGGCCCAGCATGATTGGTCATAGCCACCCGCAGCCTGCGTGATTTGAGGAGCCGAAAGGGGAAGAAAGGTTGCGTTTGGTTTTCGTTTTTTCATTCTTGTTATGTCTAAATCTACGAGTCAGAATCACCGACTACGCACACCTCGGCCGCCATCGGCGCCACCATGACAGCTGGAGCTTTGAACGCATACGTCAATTGTTTGGTCTCTACTCCCGTGACTCTGAACTTCTTCGTGTCCAAAGTTGCCTCAAAAATCAAACAAACAAAAGAGCAATCACAGTCATTAGATCTTTTTGTGATCGCAAATGCCATGGCGCGCAAAGAAATCCACCCGGGCCCTGCTGCACAGCAGCCAAAGTCGGCTCCAGTAGAAGACACGCGACGGGACACAATGCTAGCTACCACACAATCTCATTGCGCACCACTTGCCGAGCCTGTGGCACGGCATCCGCATTTGCAAGTGTTCGTGCCATGTTGAAGGTAACTTCCCCGCGCAGCTGTGTCAAATCTGCCGGGGCTGGGGTTGTCGCATCGGTCATCTTGGCGACTTGACGGCACAAGCTTCGATCCCGTACAAACAGCGCATCACATGGATGGTCGTAGCTGGCCGTTACGCGTAGGGTGTCCACAGCGGTCCCGTCCAGCATCTGAGCATCAAATTTGAGTTGACACACACCCAGGAGATGAGCCGCGGATGTTCCTTGTGATAGGAGGCACGACAGCGACAGCAACAACTGACCTTTTTGTCTAATGCTGGCAGTCGAGTCGCCACCTCCGAGGCGGCTTCTCGAGCACGTTCGTACGCAGGCAGTGCTGTGCCCACGGGACCTAGAAAGTGCAAGAGGCGGGCAATGTTGAACAGAGCCTCCTGGCTTGCTGATCTTCCCTCCGAACGTTGTTGCTTGTATACAAGCATGCTGGTCAACGCTCGTGCGGCGAGGTCGTGGCGCGCCAAAGCGCTGCGTTGCAGCGTCCGTGCAGCACAGAGAATACTCATACTCAGGACAGGAAGCACCGCCGTTTCCGGGGCTCCTCCCCACTCGAGCGCATTGGCAAACCTGACAATACCAACACAAGTATGCGGCATGATCAGAACCAGACCACCCTTGCCTACCCCGCTATTTTGATGCAGGGGTGACTGACCCGGCGACGCCAAAGCCCGCATCGTAAATCTTAAACAAGCTGCTGTTGGCCAGTGCATGATGTGCCGCCCAAGTTTCTTCGGCATCCTTGAGCAGATGCATGAGATGTCGATGGCACACAATGGACCCCTCTGCACAAAAGAATTAAAACGACATTAAGCAGGCGATGCCAAACCAATTAGCAAAAAGGTACACCCGTCAAGACATGAACGATGCAGGGGTTGAATGCTTTGCTCATACCGATGGCCGAGTGCAAGAGACCCATGTGCATGGTCCAGAGGCGTGGCAAATCGTGGTGCTGGTTGAGAAGCGCCATGGACTCGCGCAAGGCCAGTGATATGCGCCCACTCTGTGCCAGTGCGATGATGTACAGAAAGCGAGCTCGGACAGCCACGGTCTGCTCCGGGCCCATTGCGGTTAAAAGTCGCATCAAAATAGCTGCTCCCTCAAGCCCCCGCTCCAATTCGAGCAGAGCTTCGACGGTACGAAAAACTAGATGAACCCTGCAAGCAGAAAAAAAAACGCACTCAACCTGGGCAAGTGGACATGTGCGAGAGGAATGGCAGCCTCCAAAGACCGCCCAGCAAAAGGCTGGCAATGCCGGGCTTACCAGTCAGTTGGGTGCAGCTCACTTGGATCAAAAACGATGGCCTTGTTCAGCTTGGCCACATGTCGTGCATCTGCCAAGTACGATACGCACGCACACACACACACACACACATATCAGACTTCACACACAAAAAAAAAAAAAAAAGGCCTAGAAGCAAAGGAAGCCAGGCCGATTGGCTGCTCAAGCCCAAAACGTGCCTTTTTGGGCCTGGATCTGACCACTCCAGCTCTGATCCAAGCCCGCGGAATGCTGATACACGAGCCACGGACGACGTGACAAGCCCCCCAGTCCCGTTCCAAAAACATGCCTGTGCAATGCCCGATTTGTAAGAGGGTGCCAACGCAGAGTCGAGCACAATAACAATACAAGCGTGCAGTCAGAGCTCAAAAACTTACGGCCAGACTAAATCTGAGTCAATGAGCGGCGTGAAGAGAGCAAAGCCATTGAGTGTTGAACTCAACCCCATCATAACATGCTTCACGTAGTATTTGCACATGGGCAACCCCACTGCCACGACTTCATCCTTGCGTCCAGCTTTCCAATGTTGTTGGACCAGCTATTCAATGGCATTTTTGAGGCAGCATGATTAAGTGTGATGAGCCTAGACGAACACCTTGCCGGGCACGCTTGAGTGCAGTTCATACCCGTAGTTGCTGCTGCAGCGGAGCCGGAAGCAGGGTGAATTCCCTTGTTTGAGGTGGATACGTCCACAACTTGGCCCGTTTGCGTTGTCGATCGCGTGCCAAGCGCCGCTGTTTGCGCTTAGCTTCTCGGCGCTGAGCTTCCAGTTCTGCCGGCAAGTCACAATTCTACAGCCACACCCGGAAGAGACCAAAGAACGTGGTTGAGACCCACCTGTTGCAAAGGGCCGTTGCTTGCAATTCAGACACCAAGTTTGAAAAAGGCGTTGGATAGGCGGAGGCCGCGCGAAATGGTCTGTTCGTTGACAATACATCTGCTGCAGTTGCCCGGCTGCAAGGGAAACAACACACAAACCTCGAGTTGTTCAGACAAGCTTCGCAATTCGGCGCTTGGCTTCAAAACCTGGAAGAAGCAGTGATTTGCAGCATGCCGTGAAACCCCGAGTCTGTCATACGCCATCGAGGCTTGCCTGCAAAGAACATATGAAGCAAACAACACACCTGTTGTGCTGCCTGCAAGAGGCTCTTGGCGGTTTCGCTCCGAAGCCCCAAAGCGCAGAGACATTTGACATGCTCAACCCAGACGATGGCTCGATCACTGGTGGCGTGGGCTCGTAATTTCAGAACCAAGGGCAACGCTTGCGCGAAAAATCGTCGACGGGTAAGCTGCTGGGTGACGAAGAGTAGGTCTGCATAGTACTCCTCCGCATCAAAGGGCAATACCGACAGGCACAAGTCTAGCAGGCCCGGGATCATGACAGATGAGAGGAATATCTCTGATCAAAAACAAATCAGGAGAGCGTCGCCAGTCTTACTCAGAGCAGCACGATCGTGAACATCCAAGCTCAAGTACGCCAACCCCAGACGAGCACGAAAGTGGGGCAAGAAGGTGTCGGGTATTGCTGTGCCATCAGAGGCCAAAAGCGGTTCGTTCTAAAGCGTGACACATTTGCACGCACACACAGGGCCAGGCCCACGAGTGCACGAGGTCAGCTTATACGCGATGTACACACGGGATCAGCTTCCTTGAGCCAACGATGCGGAGAGCAAGGGGAAAGGAAGTCAGGTCTGGCTCAAGCGACCAACCAAAAATTGTGCATGGACAAGCGGTCCACGGACTTGAGCGAGCCTACTCATCAGATAATGCGTGTGGCCGATGAGCTGCTCAAACCAATGGTTTGACGCTAAACAGATTGATAAACAACTCGACAAGGGCTGGTCACTGTAGCCTTTGGTTTGGGAGCCGGTGGCATTGAGGACCATGGGACACGAGAAGACGGGGTAAAAAATACACACGTGGCATTGGCGGCTTCAACGTGCTGTTGTAAGCTCGAGTGGGATAGAGCTTGGACTGCATCGCCAAAGGTTTCGTGCCGGAGCAAGCGCGTGCTCAACTCGCCCGTGTGGGTCAAGTCTAGATGCAAAAGTAACAGAGAATCACCGTGAGTCCAAGCTGAAACAAATGGTAAGAGACCTTGCTTCGGGCGGATCCAGGCGGGTGGGTCGTGGGAAGAGCACAACAACACGCAAGATCATACCAGTATTGGACAGGTCAAAACAACAATGGGCCATGCGAGAAGTGACAAGGTGAATCAAATCCTGGTGAGCACCTGCCCGCCATTGCAAATCGGCCATGGCCCGAACAATTGTAGTCGATAGCGCATCATCCGGTGCCGCCATAACGCTGCCATTCCGCACGCATCAACAGCGCAGCCGGTCATGAGCCAGAAGAGGCGAAGGCAGGTTGTATGTGCTCAAGTAACTCTGCTCGCAGACTGCAACCACTCCAAGCACGACCAGTTTGTGAACGTACATATCCGATAAGACGTGTACATAGCCGGCAAAGATGCGGTGCGACAGCTTGCGCTGTCCCACGCGCAAGCTGTGCCACACACGCAAGAAGAGCTGACACGGGGTGGTTGGTGTAAGGTTCAAGCTAGTTGAGGCCGCGGTGCCGGCGGAACTGAGAGCGGTGGAACAAAACAAGCGCCTCACCGTGTGACGAAAGCCAACCAGCTGAAGTAGTCGCTCGGAGGCATGAATAATCAAGCGGGTGCGTCGACGACGCCAGGCAAGCTGGCCTAGCAGCCACCACAGACGCTGTCAATCGAACCAAAGGCCATAAAGTGGAACAAACAGTCAGCGAGTGAGTATGGGCGCGACCAATCTTGCCGCCAAATAGGCAAGTACGCTCGATATCCACATTCATCATCGGATGAAGCCCCCAGACAAAGATTTTAGAGCGGCCCAACGCCACAAGGCACGCAGGGGGTGAGGAGAGGTTAGCATACCGTATCATTCGGTGCCAGTTGTACGGCACGACGGAGGGCGGCTTCTTGAGCCCTGCGAAGCTTGACTGCGCGATACAACATGGACAGACTATACAACCAAGAAGAAGATCAGAACACGCCCCACCCCAATGTCAAGCGCATGAGTGCCTATGCACCAAGACATTGATCGGGCTGTGAACGGTTGAAAAACTCGCAGGGCACAGCCACCGACTGACTCATAATAATCACGTGCGTCCAAGGCAATGCCCAGGCGCTGCATGCCTTCATAGCATGCAATGCCATCGACGGGGGTCTGCATTTCGCGACTTAGCTGTCATGGAGAAAGCGACCCGCAATCGGGAGTGGAAGGGTATGGTGAGGGAAATTGGACTACACAGGCAAGGCGCTCGAAGCATCACGCAAATGTGGGCAGTAAAAAAAAAAAAAAACGGGAAGACCGACCAAAAGCTTCAGGCGGTAGGCTGTCTCTGAAGCCGGGTGTGCCTTGAGAGCGGCGTCAGCATGGCTCAAGGCCCCAGCCAGATCCTGCATGTGTCGGACCCACGTGCCCACAAAAGGAGGGGACAGAAGAGAAGAAGTAAGATCTGTGCTTTCGCTGCTCTTCAAAACCATGATCTTTGGGTGCGCCGGTGCCGATTGGGCTATGGCGCAACTGGCTCCCGTCGACTTACGCCTTGCGCATGTGCAAGATGGCCTCTGTGCAGATGGTGGCGCAAGGCAGCCACTTGATGATGTTGCGAGGCATGCGAAGCCGGCTTGTACAGCTCTTGAGTTGACGGGGCAACACTTGATGTCTGGCTCTGAACGTGCGTGTTAGCTTGTGGGCCGAGGGCAGGCCGATCGGTGGCGTGCTCGAGTGGCAGGGGATCCGGTGCGTGCACGTCGGTGGCCGGGGGCACATCCTGATCCAGCAAGTCCAGGTCCAGGTGTACCCTGCGACGGAGGCCGGTTTTGATTGGTAGTGTTTGGCCAAGTGAACTGCCGTGTCAGAGGAAGGGCTAGACAGCAAACCCTTCGAGGAGAGAGAGGCAAGTGGCGGTGAAATACGATCTTACCGCGAGGAGGCATAGAGAGGTGGCGGAAGGCCAATGCGAGTGGTTGAGTTCTCATCATGTGGAGGGTTGGTTGGTGTAGGGGCGGAAGCATGGCGCTGAAGCGTGTGCATGGTCGGTGCAGGCTCTTCCAAGGCGCGCGAGTCCAGGACTTGAGCTGTCTCTGCGTCATTTGGAGGCGACCATTGGGTCACGAGGTGACGAAGGGTGGGTGCTCGGTCGAGGTACGCCGCAAACTCGGCATGTGACGTCAAGCAAGTGAGTGGCACGGGCAGGCCTTGGAAAACAACGTGTGTGGGCGTCTGCTCCATGGATGAGGCCATGTGCATAGGGGAAGGTATGCGGTTAGATCTATTGCGCACCAGCACCAACGAGCAAAAGGATGATTGAGATTGGAAGGATGATTGCGTGAACACTAGATTGTGTCAGACAAGCTATGCTCGGTTCATGGCCCCGAAATTTGGCACGGAGGGTGAATCTCGATAGAGAAATGACGGACCTCGATACGGCTGAGAATGATGAGATCCAAGCGATAGGACCATGGGGATGGAGCAGGTGAGTTGAGCCGGTTGCGCAGAAAAAAAAGGATGTCAATCCGCGATGTTGGCAGGATGGCTTGCGGCGCACATACCTGGCTTTGAAGGCATGGCGTGGTGTTCTGCGTTTTGAAAGAGATAGCTGAGGCTGAACACACTTTTTGCTTGATGTGGAGCGTGGGCGCCCGCTGTGTTGACATCACGAGACTGTGTGGGTGGAGAGAGTGGAGCAGTTGGCACCACGGGCCTTGTGCGTGATAACGCTTGCGGTGGGCTCAATGAACGCTGCAATTGCGCTGGCGGCTGTTCACTGGACGTCTGTTCGCTGGACGTCTGACGCTCCACCTGCGGGCTGCCCGAACCCTGTTCCTGGTCCGCCTCTGGTGTTTGCTGTGCTTCTCGGAATTGCGAGAATGCGGCATGCCGCGTTGGCTCATGCATCGACTCGGGATCACTCTGTGAGGTATTCAGAGGAGTTTGTTGTGTCTGGTGCAAGGCCAAAGCCACTTGCGCCTCTTGTCGGGCTCGATCGAGGAGGAAGAGACGAAACCCGTACATCTGTGGTCCAGCCCCAAGATTTAAAGGGCCGATCAGTCGAGTCCCTTGCACACGCCCGTATGGTCATACGGCCGGAGTGCCTTGGCCATAAACCCCCCGCCCTCCCAAATCAACAACGAATAGATGTGCAAACCTGGCTGGCTGAAGGAAAAGCAGCGGGCTCTGGACCTGGGTGGGCTGCAACCAGAGGAGATGCAGCGGGATAGCAAGATGAGGCAGCATTTGGCAGCCAAGTGACAGATTGAGAAGATGCGAGATGGCAACGGCATGTTCCAACCTGTCGGAGCGGGCGGGCTGGACTGTTGCGTTGTCGGTGCAGAGAAGATGCTTGAGGCCATGAATCCGGGCCCATGGGGATAGTGGCCCAGGTACGAAGCCATGATGCTCGGCTGTAGTCCAGCGTACAATCCCCAAAAGGGTTCAGACAGATACAGGGAACTGGCTTAGAGAGGAGAAGCTGGCAAAAGCAACAAGCGGTCGGATGAATTGACGAACTCGGGCAGGGCGTCAGCAGCCCGAGTTTGCGGGCAGGCTCACGCCATGACTCGCTCGCGTTCTCGAAAGAGCTCCGACGCAACCAGCAATCAGCCGGCGACGTGCACGATCCCGATCGGACCCAAGAGACCACAAGACAGCCGGTCACTGAAAGCCAAAACGGCGTTGTACCACCACCTACTCAACACCAAGCAATCCGCCACCGCCATGCGCCGATCACCAGTCGTCACACACACCCACCACCCCCGTCCACAGCCAGTTGTCATTCAAAATTCATAAAAAATAAAATAAAAAAACATCACACACACACAACAGAAAACGGAAGAAAAAGTTTCGAGAGCAGACCGAGCCGGTCGGGGAAAAAACCAACGTGTTCCGAAACTTTGCTTCCAAGCCATAATTGTCTGACAATTTATACTTTTGAAGTATCACCACATGTGTCGTCGTCTGTCAGTGCGCGTGTGAGTTGTGGAAGGGCTTGACCGTTGTGCTCACTTCTTTCATTTGTTGCTGTTCTCTCCTTCAAGCCCCCCTGCGCTTGGTACGGGCACATGTTGATGGTCAAGTCATTTTTACACCGCACCACTTCAACAACATCATGTTGCCCACAGTGGTCGCGCTCGCGGTCACGGCCGCGGCGGCAGGCCCAGTTGTTGCTAAACAGCCTGGTAAGAGTGACTTCACGCGAGTTGCCGTGCGTTGGTGGTTTTTTGAGTTTGGTGTTGCTTGGATGGCAGCGGGAGAGGCGGATGATGACTACCGTGATTCATGGCTGATCTCAGCTTGATGACTTTTAATTTCATATCACTACCCATAGACTGACGCCCCTCTTCCCTGTGTTTTTTGTGTGTGAGTTGTCGACTTGTTTTTTGTGTTGTTGCGCACCAATGATCTTAACATCATGCACCACGCCTAACGATGCTCGGTCTCCAGACCGCTGTACTTGTTGCGGACAAACAATACCCAAATTTCTGAGGTGCTCTCAACATATGTAGTTGTGTGTGTTGGATGGTTGTTCGTGTACGCACCAACTTTATCTCACTCTTCTGCCTTGCATCGGTTGACTTGAATAGGATGAACTCACATTTCTTTGAAGAAGCACTGTGCTGTCTTCTTTGAATATACACCAACAACGTTGAACGATGGCGCAACAACATCTCAATGCAAGGCAGCCCAGACCTCGGTCTCAGCCTGGTGATGCTTATGAGCATTTTCACGATCGATGAGTCGAAACCATTGGTGAGTCAACATGACAACTCTGTATTTCATAGTCATGGAGAGTGATTGTCTTTTTTTTTTTTTTTTCGTCTGGAATTTGAGACAGTGCTGCACTTGCATTGGGTATGATGAACCCTTATGTGCACATGCCAGTTCTGCTTCTGAGATCTGTGATTGAGAACGCACTCTTCGCAACTGACCCGCGAGAGCAGCACTGTTCCGAATATCCACAAACGAAAACATTTGAGTTTCTCCTTCTTCTTCTTCTTCTTCTTTTTTTTGTGAAGCTTTCCCGCTTTTTGTTGTTTCTGTAAGCACGCGCATCAAGGCCGTAATATAGCCTGCAAACGGTGCTCACATCACCGAGCTTGCTTACTTCCACGGCCAAGAGCAAAGCCAATCTCCACGGATCTGGTCGCCTTACGGGCCAGTGTCCACTCCATCAGACAAATCTTGGGCGACACTTGTTTTCACTTTTGAGTTATCGTCAGAACCTCATGTTTGTTTTGTCGGTACTCCTTTTAGATTTGTGTGTCAAAAAGGACCCACATCTAATGGTGATTGCAGCACACGGATATGACTGCAATGCAGCTGGTGAGTTGTGTGATCATTCCAAAGAACCTGTGTGTCCATCCACAACCTCCAATGATGAAATACAGCATGGAAGCTCACATGCGCGTGAGTTTGTCATAATCAAATTTTGATGAGACATCGCTGCTGCCTTCCTCCCGAGGAGTGTTCTGGTTGTGTGCCCTGTTTTGTGATGTGGGGAGGGGCGGCGATATGACGATTTCTTTTGAGCTTGACCTCAATTGTGGAAGTCTTTATTTAAACTACAATTCTCCGATCGCCTCTCTCTCTCTCTTTTTGCCTGTTTTATCTTGTCAAGGGCTCTGCTTTGCCATGTCCTCTCACCCCATGTACATGTTATGTTGCCTCTTAGCTTGATTGACACGCAAGTTCTCAGGGCCGCGACCCTTTTTGTTTTTTGTTTTTTCCCCTTTCATGATGAGATGAATTGACTTTTTTTTTCACATCATACATCATGTTTTCAAAATTTTAACAAAGCACAGATCATAAAGTTCAAGTGGTGAACTTTTGGCTCGATGCCAGTGTACATGTTGACACACAAAGGCTCGTTCATGTGGTATCAACCACACAATCTGTGGTTGGCACTAGGCATAATACAGTAAAGCGCATGGAATGCTTTGTTTTGCTCCTCCAGTCTGCACTCTACCATGGTTCAACAGCTTTGAAGTTGTTGCATTTTGCTAGCCCACAACGGCCCCGAACAGTGTAAGATCGCCTTGATGGCAAAGCTTCTTCCCTTCCTACCCGCCCCAAGATGGCATGTTCGGGGCCGGCTCCCTCCTCCTCCTCCTCCTCCTTGATGTCCAAGTGTCCTTGGTGCATACACGAACTCGCTAGACCGATCTGTCCCAGAAACGCAACCTTTGAGCTCCAGCCGGCCCCGCCGCTGCCGCTGCCATCACACTTGCCCACCACATTCACAACAACACTATCATGTTCACTGACGTTTGGCCCGCTCGATCCAGATCTTGTGGTGGTGGTGCATCCACCATGTTTTTGTTGTTCTTGAGCTGCCATCACCATCACCATCATGTAGAATCCGCCTCCTTCGCCTCCTCCTTCTCCTCCTTCTCCTCCTTCTCCTCCCTCTCTCCTTTGGTTTTTTGCCTGCCCCCAATGGATCGGTGGCTGTCCATGCGGCAGGTGCCCACGATTCGCCCGGTTGGGCCTCGCCCTGGACCGCCAGTAGCCCCGGGTCAGCTTCATTTTCATGATCGTCAATCCTGCATGCACACATGTACCCTGCGAGCTCTCACCAATTCACGAACCAACAATCCAGAAGCCGGCCCCCGATCTGCCTGGTACTAAGACATCAGCTTTGGCAACGACGATTGGCCGACTCATCTCTGCTCCTTGTCTCAATGCTATAGTCGGTTTGCTGGCCTGCTCAATTGCTCAGCTCGGCCAAGGCAGTTGAAGTTGGATCGTGTGCTTTAGTCTTTACGCGTGCATCATGGCTGCTCTCCAAGCCTCGACGCTGCGCCTCGGCGCGCGCTCCTCATTGGCCGCCATGGCCTCGACCTCCATCCGACAAAAGCACTTTAAGGTGGCTGTCGTTGGTGGTGGAGCTGGTGGTCTGGCCATTGCCTCCCACTTTAGTGAGAAGTTGGGCAAGGGCGCTGTGGGCGTCATTGAACCCAGCACAAACCACTATTACCAACCTGGCTGGAGTATGTTCATTCGCGCTCACTTCCGCTTGCTCTCCTACACGCATCACTCACTTGCACCCACTGCCCGGACTCGTTAGCCCTGGTTGGTGGTGACCTCATGGACTTCAACAAGACCGTCCGCCGCACGAGCGATGTCATGCCCATCAATGCGGAGTGGGTGCACGATGCCGCCGCCACCTTCGCCCCGGAAGCGAACAGCCTCACCACTGCCAAAGGAGACACCATCACCTACGACTACCTCGTCTTGGCTGCCGGCTTCCAGATCAACTGGGACGCCATCAAGGGCCTCAAGGATGCTTTGGGCAAGAATGGCGTCACCTCCAACTACCACGCCGATCATTGCAAGTATACGGCCAAGGCCATGAACGAGTTTGCCGGTGGCCATGCCGTCTTTACCCAACCCAACATGCCCATCAAATGTGCAGGTGCGCCACAGAAGGTGATGTACATTTTCGAGGACACGATGCGCCGCAATGGTCTCCGCGACAAGACGACCGTCACCTTTATGCAGGGTATGCCCTCCATTTTCGCCATTCAAAAGTACGCCAAGGCCCTCACGGAACAGTGCCAGGAACGCGACATCAACGTCAACTTTCGGCACGTCCTCACCGAGGTGAAAGCCGACACCAAGGAAGCCGTCTTCAAGGCCGGTGAGAAGGAAGTGACCGTCAAGTACGACTTTCTGCACGTTACTCCCCAAATGGGTGCCCCCGACTGCATCCGCAACAGCCCCCTGGCTGCTGAAAATGGCATGGCCAACGTCGACAAGGAAACCATGCAACATCTGACCTTCCCCAACGTTTTCGCCATTGGCGACTGCGCCAATCTTCCCACCTCCAAGACAGCGGCCGCCGTCGCTGCGGAAGCACCTGTGGTCAAGGCGAACATGGAGGCCGTCATGCGCCAGGCCAACCCCACCGCTAAATACGATGGCTACGCCTCGTGCCCTCTGGTCATCAGCCGAGACCGCCTCATCCTCGCCGAGTTCTCCGCCTACACGGGTCAGCCCATGGAGACCCTCTTTCTTGACCAGTCCATTCCCCGCGAATCCCTTTTCTTCCTCAAGGCCGAAGTCATGCCCGATCTCTACTGGGATGCTCTGCTCAAGGGCCACTGGAACGGGCCCTCCAATGTCCGCAAGATCCTCAACCCATTTAATGCTTAAACATTTGAAGCCCCTCGTCAACCGTTCCTTGCTCTCTGGCATTGGGTTGCGTCGGACCACCAACAATCGAAATTTTATATCACTCGTGTGTTGCAACAGCGTTTTGAAGGAAAAAAGCTTGTGTGTGCTCGCCACCAAGAGCCTGTTTTATCCAAAAGCAACAACCAAACGCGCGGTGCTCTCGAAGCCCGGCTGCACTCGACGCCTAAGCAGAAGTAGTTACCTAAATCAGATCAATTGCCCAACAGCCTCCAGCACATCCTATTCCGCTCTTTCAGACTATCCTAGTCTGCCCCGTCTCTGAATCCAGAACCATTTGTAGCGGTGGGCCACCACCGCACAAGTCTGCCAAACATTCCAACACAGGTCCAAGGCAAGGTTTGTGATTCAGACACCTGCAAGCCGCGACGCGATAAAGAACGTCGAAAGGTACATACCCAGCATATCTTCCCAAAATGCGGCGGTCACTTGACTCACACCGCCTCGCAAGATGTCATCGACAGTGGCCTTGATGCGACCCTGTTCATCAAACCATTTCTGCCAAGATAATGTTTCAATAAAAGCCCATGCAGTCAAACGAGAATGTGAGCCCGACGTCCAAGCCAGCAGCACCTTCAGCATGACCACCACTGGGCAGAACTACTACACTTCTAGGCCTTCCCATGTCGACACCGACCTGATGATCAATAGGGGGGCAGACTTCATCGGGCGACGTGCTCTGGGAAAAGTCGCACAGTTGCTGCTCCCACGCCGAGGATATGACAAAGAAGGGCCGTCCCGCGTTGAGATCATCATGCATCTCGGCACATGCATCAGGGGAGCTCAGCTCCCGGAGGGCAGCCTGGACTCGTGTGCGCTGTCTCTGCAGGCGAGCCATGGCCGCTTGACAAGCCATGCAGGTGCGATAAGTGGCCGGCCCTGTCCGACGCGCGCCGTACACTTGCTGCAACGCGTCAGCTGTACTTGCAGGAACCTAATCCCCGCCATACCGATGAGCCCAACCATACACACAATTGGATCAAGAGAGAGATTCTCTGCATGGCGCCGTGTGGGTTCAACAAGGGTGCGTACCTCTTGAGCATAGTCGAGCAGCTGTGAAGCTTTGTGAGGCTGCACGGCCCCATGCGAGCACATGAACTCAAAATCATTGACTGGTGGGGGCTGAACACAGTGTCGCCACAACGTCAGCCACTCGTGCGATAAGTACGCAAGCGGCTCTCCCTGGTCTGATTCTGGCAACCCGGTCAATAATCGGTCAACTTGCTCCTGCGCATGAGGCGAGTGTCGTCTGTGGCGCCCACATCAAGACCCGGTGTGTGATGTTGGCCAACAGATCATGAGCCAGAGCCACAACGGTGGACGCTTGTCAGCCCCCAACGCAGAAGCAAGCGAGACTGACCGGTAGAAGAGCATGTACGGAAGTCGATTGGACACGTCGGATGCAGAAACTTCATGGACGTCGCTGTCGTCGTAACGATACCACTGGTTGGTTTCTGTATCGCGACAGTAGGCCATGTAATGCCCACTCGTTGCCTGCGATCCCTGCAACCACAGAGCAGGTGGCGCAGGTGAGGGGGTCAAGCCTCAAGCCATTCGCTTTGAAGCTTGAAACTTCAATGCGCTCAAAACGTTCTCGCGTCAAAAGTATTCTAATGCTTCAATTACCATGTGAGTCACAACACCGGCCAGCACGTAGTCAGCCCCCAGTGTCGCAATGTCCTGGGCAGCCGCAGTGTCGCTCGTGGTGTCGCAGTAAGGTGACAGATCCAGCACGTCGGTAACGGGAAACTCTAGGCGACTGTGAGCCAGTCAACAGCCAGTCAGGGGCAGTGTCATTGAAAGTGTGCGGCCGCTCACAAATACTCGGTTGTGCGTGCTCGTACGATCGAATTTTTTGAGTTTGGTAACCATCGTAGGAAAAAATCTTCAGATGCAAGCAAAGCAACTGAGGCAGCTTGCAGATCTGCATCCGGCGCCTACAAAATTCCACCCACGGGATCAAATGAGGTGAGGGAGCAAATAAAACGCGTTCACAAGCAAAGGTTGTGTACCCATCCAGGGGGGCTTGCCTAGCGTCACGAAGGCCCTTGCATTCGCTACATGCATACTGATTGTCGCCTGTCATGCCCTCCTCCTTGACCAGATCATCCAGACAGGATTGCAGCGAGGTATCTGCCAGCACAACGCACGCACTCGATACCTCAGCTAACCAAAGCCATGGTGCAAGGGAAAAGGCAAGATGGCCGGACAATGGCAGACTCACCAGCACCACCCCACGGTGTCCACGAAGTCACATAATCCACCGCACCTGCGACACCATGGAAGAAAAGCGGTATAACCGAAGGCGTATCGGCTGTGGCACTTGAACCTGCTCCAAGTCAACCTCGCAGAGAAGAGCGGCGCCTTACCATGGAAAACATTGCCCCAACCAGTGCTGGCCTCAGAGCCAGGTATTTGGAGCGACAAGTCGTGAAAGGACTCGACGCATGAGGAGACCTGGCAAGGCAACAGGGGCAATCCTCAGCTTCCATAATGATCACCACTTCGCAGGCACAAGCGGCGCGGATGCGCGTGAGGACATACATGACCGCAGTGGAGACATTCAATGCTGCCTCGTGTGGCGCCAGCAAACAGCTGTGATACAATGCTCTCTTGCTTGCGATTGCGGCGAGCTTGTTCATCAGGTGCACTGCAACGTGGTACTGCGTTGATGGAGGGTGCATTGCGAATCAGCACAGCTCCTACTTCATGACCCTTGCACCTGCTGGCTGCGGAAGAAAATTTCATTGCAAAACGCACCGGGACCTTCAATGGGAATGCCCGTCTCGCTGTCAATGTGATCCAGTAAGACGCGAAGGCACTCGTGTGCATCCTAGCGCATATTGGCAGTACCACGTCCAGAATGAGCCAGTCAGGCCATCCTGACATCCTCGCCGCTGTGGCTTGCGCTCACGCTCGATGCAAAACAGACAAGCAAACTGCTTCTCAAAGGCGTCAAATAGGCCAACGCCTCCCCAACGGGTTCCGAGGTTCTGCGGCTGGGCCAAGCAGACTCACTTGCTGTCGGTATGGCTCAAACAGATTGTGGTCGTAGCACACAGCTCTTGTGAGGTTGCGTGGGGTAAGGTACTGACGACCATTCTCTGCCGCCTCATCCAGGCTCGTGGCCAGCTAGCAGCAGAGCAAGCGAGCGGTCAGACACGGGTCTATGCTTGAGATGGACGCAGTGCTGGGAACGTGGCACAAAGAGGGCCCGAGCGCCAAAACTGCCTGGGTTTAATTCATGTTTTATTTTTTGAAGACGGACTCAGCCTACCTCCGCCAAGCTCCGGACGAGACTGTGCTCGGGTGTGTCTGCCAACTGGCCTGGACAATTGATTAAATAGTCATGAATGGCGTCGCAGTGCAAGAGGCACTGCACGACCGAGTTGAGGTAACACGTGTTACCGAGGTTGACCAAGCCCACGGTCATGGTGATAGGTGGCGTTGGAGGCGTCAAGGCCCGTTGGCACACCCCTCCAGCCACGCCCGACTGATCTGATTGATACAGGTGCTGAGCCCTGGTTGCCGCCCACCAGAAGGGAAGGTCGCAAAGGGAGGCGTGGTGACAATCGTCAGCGGGGGTTCACCTCCTTGGCGCTTGTCGTGATGCTCGCATGCCCTCGACCATAGACGATGTTGAAATGAAATCTTCTGCCAAGGAACAAAATTTAATCTTCTTTTCATCAACTTTTGGCAACATCAGAAAAAATTTAATTATTGTTTTGAATCCATTCCATCCTGGGGATGTACATGAACTCTGGTGTGTGGGTGTTTACTGCCTCTGTTCTTCAAAAACTTGTTGACATGTGAATGGAAGGAAGGGTGGATGGGCTATCCTGTTCGGGGCGCGCGCTGGTGAGCTGAGAGAGGATCATTTATGATAGAATCGTTTGAAGGATACAATGAGTAGGGAGCATAAACAAATCACGACATCAAACAGACAAGGATCCTTCGATCAATCACGGAGAATCGAGCATCAAAGAGGAGCAGATGCCTCTTTGCTTCGCCTTGAGCAGTCGCCGACCCAGCTGCAAGAAGATACATTGCGCAGCATATGGGGCTCAAAGCGATTGAGCACAGGGCCAAAAAAATGTGCCCACATCCGACGAGCCAACTCGTGAACGAGCCTGGGGCTCCTACTTGGGAATGGCTGGTAGTACACGAGCCTAACAAAGAGATTGGTTAGTGAGATGAGAAGCGCATAACGTTTGGTACTTGGAGCATGGACAGGCACAGTGGGTGTGCGCGACTAGACAGAGCCCCGCCTGACGCGTGGGAGGAGCAAGTGGTTGTGGTGGTGGTCCCTGTCGCGCTGACACACCTTGGCGCCGTGGCCCTCGAGATACAACCCATGTTGCGTCTTGTGAATGCGACGGTGGGATCCACACTCAGCATAAGCTTCAAAAGAGTCGCCCATAGTCAGTGTAAACCACTCTTGCACCAAATGATTAGCAGAGAACTCGTGTGAATTGTGCACGCAGTGTGCCAAGATGTTTCGCACGGGCGCCCATTGCACAGCTAAAAGCTGTGATTCTTCTTGGTCGGCAGTGTATGGCAGCTGCGTCGCCAGCTCCAAAAAAACATGCCCAAACGTGACCAGATCTCGCTGTGACTGCAGAGCCATCGTAACCGTAGGTAAGCCAGAAAGCGAGCAAACCAGGCGAACAAAGCAAAGAAAAAAAAAGGTGTGGAAGGCGGGAGCGGGGCCGAGATATCTGCGTGTCTCCCCTGGCCCGAGCACCGATCAAAGCCAAGCATGATATGGCAAAGATCAGCCAACGCAATGACCGACCTGGTGCAGAACCATTGCTCCATCATAAGGTCCAGCTTGCGAAGGCAAGTGTGTCATGAGATGGGGTGGTGGATGAACAAAAGTCAGGCGCACACAGAGGGGCTCCATCGCGGTTGAAATCTTGGCCTCGAGGTTTTCCGTCAATAAAATCTTGCGCGTTGATAACCTAATCCCATCGCAACTGGTCATGAGAGAAGGCGATGTGGACCAGGCCAGAGCCTGCGGGTGTCTTGACGCACCCGCCGTGGAAAAGATTGCAGCGATGCAAATAAGCTAGTCCGGCACTAGCCCCTGCGGCAATATCACAATACTCGCGACAGGTAAACTTTTCCTCGGAATCAATCTATCCAGAGCGCAGACCGAGTCAGCTCACATAAAGGTGACAACGAAATGGTATTCAAACCCCCGTGGCGGGGATCTGGGCTGACAACGAGCAGATGCGCACCACGTCTTTGAGAGAACACGCAAGTAACTCAAGCACGAGCTTGGGGCGCTCTGTCACAGCCACCGTGGCCCCAAAGAATGCCACCAAGTTGGGGTGACGCAATAAGGATTGCTTGGAGAGCTCCTTCTCCCAAAGCTCGGCGTAATAACCATTGCGGACCGTCTCCGACATTCGCCGGACAGCCACGCGTGCACCTGCCCAGAAGGCCTCACGTGTTTCGCAGAAGGTGCCCTGAGCGAGGGTGCACACGTTGATCAGGGCATCTGCAGGTATACACCAGCTGCTACGAATCTTGTTCAGAGATTTCTCAAGCTCGCCGCGTGCTGCAACTTCGGCCTCAACTTCGGCTTCCAAAGCAGCATTGCGTTTCTTGTATTCGGCAATAATTGCCATGTCTTGCGCGCGCAATTGATCTAGTGAGTGCGCCAAATATTGCTGCTGGCGTTGAGAATCCGCTGCCTGAGCCTCTGCCGTGGCCCGAGCCTGTGACATGCGTATCAAAGAGACAATAGAAAGAGCACATTGGTGGCTGGTCAAACAAAAGGCCCTCTCAGACACGGCACCTTTCTGGACCCCCGAGGCGGCAAAGACAACCCTTTGCCGGAAACATCTTGACTAGGTTGAGTGCTGACCTGCTTGGCCTTGCGCAGTTCGGAGCGCATGGCATCGTCTTTTCCTTTGTCCTTGCTTGAAGTTGTGGTTGTTGGTGAGATGGAAAACACGTGCTCCAGCTAGACCAAGAAAAAAAAATGAGCGCATTCTGTGAGCGCAGCACCATCCCTTGCAGACCGTGCAGGCCGAGAAACACCAGCGGTGGATAATGCGTACCCCAGGGTCTGGGGCAAATGATACATGGCGTGAGCTTGGGGTACTGCAACCAGAGCCGTGGGATGACGCACTGCCCACGCTTGCCGCGCTATTGGATCGAGGAAACACACTACCCGTAGCTGACTTTCGCCCCGGTGGCAGGTCGTTCAGGCTGCCGTCGCGCGAGAGAGGGGAATGGCGAGCTCCGCGACTATCTGTTGGTCTATGATGTCGATCGGCCGCCATGACCAAGCTATCGGCCGAAGACCCATCAGCAACAATTGCAGAACCCTCCATGCGAGCTCTTTGCTCCATGGGAGGCAGCTTGGTTGAAGACGTGCCCGAATCTGACGGTGCATGGCCACTGTGGGGGTGAGAAGCCTCCACCTCTGTGACGCTGTCCAAACGATCCAGAAGAGACTCCCCACGTGCATAGACGCGATGGGGCCGCGCAACCTGATCCAAACGATGGAAAGACAAACGCAGGCACCCAATGTCAGGGGCAGTGGATTCGCGTTACGTGATGTCCATGCGTATGTGTGAATGGGCCGCGCGGTGAACAGACGCGAGAGACATGCCTTGCCAAGATCTTGGCCAAAAGGCTCGTCTCCAACACGCTCCAAACCTAAAAGTTGTGTGAATCCCCAGCCCGTTGCAATCAGCAAGGACGAAGTGCAAGGGCAGAGACAGTCCTGTATGTTCGACATTAAAGGGACGCTGCGCGTCGCGATCGGGCACGGGATGCCTACCGGTGACATCCCAGTACTTGAAGGACTCATCCCAGGAGGAAGAAAGAAGCAGATGCTGAGTGGGACTGAAACAGCAAGCAGAAACGGTACTCTTATGTCCGGAGAAAGTGCGGGCCTCGCTGCAGTCATCGACGTGCCAAACCTTGATAGTTGCATCGGCCGAGGCCGTGGCGAGAAGCCATCCGCCGTGGTCAAAGGCGAGATGGGTGATGGCATCAGCATGTGTGGTGACGATTTTCATCATTGAGGAGTGCTCAACGTGCCAGATGTGAACAACGCCGTCGCGGCCACCAGAGACGACGAGGTGCGAATCAAGTGGACTAAACGCAACGCCTGTGATGGCATCTGAATGACCGCCGTACGAGCGCATGAGCTTGCCCGTGTTGGCGTTCCAAATCTTCAGAACAGTGTCTTCACCCCCTGAAGCGATGAGGCGGCGGCCCGCTGGTGAAGCAGCAATGGCAAAGATGGAGCCCGAATGGCCGACCAGCTTCTTCACGATGGTGGCGCGTTCAACGTCCCAAACAATGACGTTGGCGTCGGCCCCGCTGCTGATCAGTTTGCCCCCATCAGCGGTAAAGGCGATGGAGAATACCTCGCCTCCATGACCGCGCAGGGTATGCACCAGTTGCCCCGTGTTCGCTTTGTAGACCTTGATGGTCTTGTCCTTGCTGCAGCTGGCCAACAGGAGATCATTGCTGCTAAAGCACACGGCGTTGACGCGATCCGCGTGTCCCTTCAGGGTCCGGATGGGTGTTTCCGCTCGCAGATCGAAGAGCTTGGCTGTGCGATCGCGCGAAGCCGTAGCCACCCGGCTTCCATCATGAGAAACAACCACATGCATGACCGGCCCAACATGGGCCGTCACTGACTGCATAAATCCCGCCATCTTCCTGACTCCCCCCTCTGTGGAGTTTGAGCGCCACACACACACACACTGTGTGTGAGAGCAAGAAAATTTAAAAAAAAATGTCAGCCGCACGGCGCGCAATACAATCTGACAATTTCATGATCTGACAATACGTTGTACAACCATTTCACCCTCTGTGTGTGTGCGTCTGTGAGTGCGTTTGTGTTGGTGGATCTGTGGGCGAGCGGTCACTCGGCTGGGGTCACTAGCACCACGATCTGCCCCTTGGTTTCAGTTCAGGAGTTCATTCTGCTTGATCGTTGGCTGACAGGAGATCATCAAGCAACCAGAATCGTCATGTGTGCCATGCTTGCTCGCGCGCCCTTGCGCCGATGGCCGGCGCTTGGGACGGTCAGCAACCTTCAACGTCAAGCAGCCTCGACCAAGGTGTTCGCTGAACCGGAAGCGCATCGCAAGGTACACCTCGACTCACGCGGCTTAGCTTGAAGCATTGGTTGAATGAAACAAAGCCACCGTGCACGACTTCTCACCGGTCTACTTGCTAGGTGGAGAACCAGGTCAACAGCCTGGGGGATTTCAATGCCTTCAAAGCCGACCCATGCCTCCAGGATGCTGTCCTCCGCGCTGGTGCTTCGTGGGCAACCGAACATCTTGAGAACGTTGGAGCCGTAGCTGGCAGTACTTGGATGCAATCCTTGGCTGTGCAGGTAAGCCCACCCCTTCCTGTCCCCTGATCTGAGCATCTCACCTGAAATTACAAGAGGCATATCGATGCGCACCGATGCTCGAGCACACCGTGCACCCTCATTCATTCCTGGTCTTCCTTGTTGATGGCGTGTCCCTAGGCTAACACGCATCGCCCCATCATTCACACCCACGATGATCGCGGCCGTCGCGTGGACATGGTTCAGTATGATGACAGTTACCACACCATCATGGAGTGCGTTGATTCTGCTAGGCTGTGCAAGCCATGACTTGCGCCGGTCGGGCTAAAACTCATCGCGACACACAGTATCTGCTTTTCTCAGGGCGTACCCAACTATGGCTGGACCCATGAAGCTGAAAAGGGTGCTCAGGTGTGGCTTGCAGAGTCTTGCACGAACCACCAAGCCCAAGCGTTTTCCTTCACTCTTTCCGTCGCTCACCTCCACCCTTTGACGTTGTGATCTTTTTCTTTGCAAAAAGTCGGCGCGCTCTGCTCTCTCGTATATGATGTATCAAGCGGAGAGTGGTACTCAGTGCCCCCAGACCATGACCTTTGCCTGCGTTCCAGTTCTGCGCAAGGGGCTGAACGAAGAGCAAGCTCGATATGGGTGGGTGTGGCCGTGCCGATTCCCCCTTGCACGCCTCATGTAGCTCAATGCCGCGCATGTTTCATCAAAGTCTCTTGTTTATGATCGTCCGGTTATCCATAACCATGAGTCACTCACTCCCCTTGCCTCTCTTGTGTCGGATTAGTTGGGCTGAAAAGGCTGCTTGCCCTGACTACGACCCCCGAAACGTACCCGTCTATGAGAAGGAGGCCGTGACCATCGGCATGTCCATGACAGAGGTCCAAGGTGGTTCGGTGCGTGTCGAGCTCACACACACATGCACTAGATTGCACTTTGACCCACACTGGTCATTGATCTCGTTCATTCACTAAGACACCGTGCTTTGATCTCAACAGGACGTGCGAGCCAACTCGACCTTCGCCGAGCCCTTAAAGGGCTTTGAGCACGTGCGAGGTCACCTCCTACATGGACACAAATGGTTCACATCTGCACCCATGTCCGATGGTTTCCTCACCCTGGCCCAAGTCTGTTTGTGCCGATCCCTATCTACTTCTGGCATTCGCTTGCCTCCTTGCCATCTATCATACGCTAGAAAGGAGGAGGGAGATGATTCAGTTTGCTTCTCGATGAGAGCCACCTTGCGCGACCTCTCTTACCTCTTCTCCGCCTTGATCATCCTGACAGACTTCCGAGGGTTTGTCTTGCTTTCTGGTGCCTCGTTGGGTCCCGTCTACGGGCGAGCGCAACCAGGGCCTGCAATTTCGCCGACTCAAGGTCAGTCACTTAAAAAAAAAAAACACGGGCTTGACCTGACATCGTTTACCCCTCATGCCCCATTGTGCCCCGATCCACTCGGGCGGGCTCATGCTCAACTTGACTGTGAACTGACGACCTGGTTTCTTCTGTCATACTGTAGAATAAGCTTGGGGACCATTCCAACGCATCCAGTGAAGTCGAATATCACGGTGCCTATGCTGAGCTGGTGGGCGAACCTGGCCGGGGCGTGCCGACGATCATTGACATGGTGCAACACACTCGGTGCGTGTGTTGCTGGAAGCCAGTTTCATATAATGTGCTGTTCCTGATTCAAGTGACACACTGCCCCCTAACCACTGGCCTGCTGCTGATGTCGATGCTTTAGCCTGGACTGCTTGGTTGGCAGCGCTGGCCTTATTCGCCGCTGCTTGAGCGAGGCGCTTCATCACACCTCTCAGCGCGCTGCCTTTGGAGCGAAGCTGGCCGATCAACCTCTCATGAAGGCCGTCCTCACCGATCTGGTGCGTTTGTGTGCCCCCCCTTTGACGTTCCTTCGCAAAATGACTTTTGAACAGACGACACGGCAGTTCGTAATTTGCTGCGCTTGCACCACGTCTTCCTCCCTCTTTGGCGCGTCATGAGCAGATTGTTGATTCTGAAGCCGCTACGGCTTTGGCCTTCCTCGTTGCCTCGACCTTTGACAATGACGGCGACAAGGTTTGTTGCGAACACCTGATTTGTATTATTTTTTCCCTGTTTCTTCCTTCGTTTTTCTCTTGGCTTTGAAGAAGCAAAGGCACAGGGTGTGTGGGCAGAAGGAAGATGTGTAGCTGTGTTTTTATGTGTATGCCAAGGTTCCGTTGGTGTGACAATGAACGCACGCCTTGCCCCGCTTTGCCACTCGTGGTCTGTGGGCTTTTTCTAGAAATTTGGACGCATTGCGACTCCCATTGGCAAGTACTACGTTTGCAAACGGGCCCCACACTTTGCTTATGAGTGTCTGGAAGCTCTTGGCGGCAACGGTTATGTGGAGGACAGCATCATGCCGCGCCTTTACCGCCAGGCTCCGCTGAATGCCATTTGGGAGGTGAGTGGTTTTGCATATGGCCCTTGAGGGAGAAAGAGTGTAAAATGTGCTTGGTCTATTCTTCCTCGACTAGGATCGATCTCTTCTAGTTCAGGCTTGTCGTTCACTCATACACGTGTCGATGCATAAACAGGGTTCTGGCAACGTGATTGCTCTGGACGTTTTGCGCTCTGCTGCCCGTGAACCAGAGTAGGTTCCTGCTGCGTGTCGCGGGCTGCGTGTCGCTATATCAGCTCTCTCTTTTTTTTTTTTTCTTTTTTTTTTCTTCAGTGGGACGCTGGTTGATATCCCTCTGTCTGGTTTGTTGACCCTGTCTTCAATCCGTCATGTGACATCTGTTGGTGCTGCTCCTTTAATCCTCCATAGAACGGTCGAGGTCTTGTTGCAGCGCCTGGGTTCCGTCCAGGGTGTACCAGCCTACGACGCTGCACTGAAGCGGGTACGAACCGTTTTGCGTTGGTTGCTTGTCTGCGTGCTTGATGTTGCCATGCACTCGTTTTGTGTTTCACTTCTGGCGCATGCTTGCATCCTTTAGCTTCATGGACTCTTGCACTCCGTGCAAAAGGACATGAGTCAGGCACGCGCACTTGTTGGACAGGCCGCCATGCTTCTTCAGGTTTGTGCTTCGTCTGTGTTGATGGCACTCAGGCCAGCCTTTGCTAACTGGTTCGTGCCTCTTTGGCATTTTTGTCGGACAGGCATATGCCCTGTCCCTGCAGACAAACACAGAGACCTTTGAGCTCTTCTGCCAGGTACGGTCACCTTGTGGCGAGGCTTGATGTTTGAGCTTGTCGATGACCCTTCTTGTCGAAGTATTTCCTTTGTCTACTCGATTGCAATAAAGGTGGAAGCTCATGCATGAACCGGCACTGACTTGGGTGCCCCTGATTGCAGCGTCTTGATGGTGGCCAGTTGGCCTATGCTCGTGATTACGGCACTGTGTCCTACCCCGACACAGTGTTGCGCAGCCGGCTTGATGCACTGCATGCCGCCTGTGTGCACGATGACCTCGAGTAGGGCGATGGACATTGACGGCAACAAAGTGACTAGTTTCTATCCACGCGACCCTTGATCCGCAGTCGTGGGATAGAGCACGCTTCAGCTGCAGGACTGGCATCGCTGGCGTTTCACGTGTGTGCAGCGTCCGATTGAGCAGTATTGCTCTGGCTGTACCAAATCATCTTCTTTTTGTTGATGCTATTTTTGCTTTTCGCAACTGCGTGGGGGCCCTGCGACATGGGTGACCGTTCCTTTCCTACTCGTTTCCACGGTCCTTGGTTTGTCGGTCTTGTTGTACAACAGCTTCTTTTCCGTGTGCACCAGTCTGCTGCTGCATGTAGTTTGTCGGGCATGCATCCACGGCGTCGTTCTGCGGATTCGATCCATCCTTGAAGGTGACAACCGGTCAAGCACAGCAAGACATCCGTTCTCTCAAGATCAGGGTTTTTATCATCAGTACCAGAGTAAGATGTCATCCACACACAGCAACATCAGTTCACAAGTCAACACTTCAAGGATCAGGATCAGTGTTATTTGCTTACCCCAAAAAGAACAAGAACGACTAGCACACAAAGAAAAAAAGAAAGGCAGCAAACCGCAGGCTTAGCACGATAAGCACGTCATCCAACAATCACAAGACGAAACAACAACGACAACAACAACCAAAAAAAAAAAAACAAATGCAGGTCACAGTCGACGACCATTAGCATCAAAGTTCCACACCACTCAACAGCTTGCAAGCATTTCCCGCCAAAAACAACCAAAAATTGTCGACAAATTCAACGAAAATTAACGTGCGAATCTGTTATCGAAATGCAGTTCTCCGTTCAGCAGACACCAAATCCCATCCACCCTGAAGGAGAGCCGAACCAACATTATGGACGTCCAGTGCGACAATGTTGGGTTGCGCGAGCTTCGCCGGCGGCTGGACGAGTTGATGAACAAACTTCTTCACCAACTGGTCGCTGGAGACAGTCCCCACTTCCGTCTGCCCAGCCATGTCAGATTCGACGCTGACAAGGGCTACTATCGCCTCACAACCGCAAGCCATCTGATGGTGCGCAGCCAATCACCACGATTCGAGTACATACTGCGCCTTTGTCAAGAAATGTATGCGCTCATCGGCACACACAGCTCGCGCACCGTGCGGGATATTTTCTACAACGGCCGGTCGAGCTTTCGCACCCAACACGACGCCCAACAAGCATTGCTCGACATATCAACACTGCTGTGCGTGCGTCAGGAAGCACTGCCCGTTTTTGCCAGCAACAAGGGGCTTGTGTGCGGGGACATCACTCTTCTCGACAGCATGGGACGGACGCTCATTAGCCGCGAACAAGCAATATCGCGCTCCGACAACCTCATTCCCTCGTTAAGGGTTTGTTCTCCTGCCACGTTAGAAGAGGGCTGCATGGAAGATCAGACTCACCGGGCTATGGGACATTGTTCCGCTGCGCGCGCAGGACCTCGGTCGTGGCGTGTCAGTGACTGCAGATGCACAAGTTGTGCTGGTTGTGGAAAAAGATGCCGTATATCAGGCAAGACATGCGATGCAAGTCGTTGGGTGGCCGAGGGCGCCAAGCGATACTTTGTTTGATTCTCACTTGCATGAATGTCATCGCGCGCATAAACCAACAGCAATTGTTTGAAGCGGGTGTTCCCAGCAAGCTCCGCGCAATACTCGTGACAGGCAAAGGATACCCGACGTATTCCACTCGCTTCTTTGTTCGAGAACTATGCGCACAGCTGCAGCTCCCACTGCTCATACTCTGCGATGCCGATCCACACGGCGCAGCGGTACGTCAGATGCACGTGTGGAAAATGAAGGAACAGTAACAGGATACCACATATGGAGCGCCCTCTCAGCGCCCTCCCGTGCACGTAGATCATGCTCATTTATCGCAGCGGTAGCCAGGTTCAAGCCGGCTGCAACCAGGTCCTGGCGTGCCCGCATGCCCGTTGGCTCGGCCTTTGGCCTGCTGACATTGCCCGGTATGCATCACGTCTGGCCTCTTCACAACTGGTTGGCCTGCCGCAGCGGTCGCAACAATTGGACGACAGGTGTCCATTCTCACGGGTTTCAACACTCTTAGGTTTGATCTGAAGGCTGCCTGTCTACCACAAGAGGGAAATGATTTCAATCTGCTGGAGCGCCTGCTGGCACATCCTGCTCTTCACCCCAAGGAGCGAGCAGGACTGCAAGAGATGGCTACGGCGCGAACAAAGGCAGAGCTGGAAGCCATCAACGTACACCACCCTCGCTTTCTCTCGGATCGCTACTTGCCGATCAAGGTGCGAGAGGCACTTCAAGGATAATTCGCAAGGGACTTGTTGGAAGTGATCATTCAACACCTGAACTTGGCAGTGTCACATTTTAATTTTCAGGTGCATCGTCATGAGACGACTGAGCGATGGCAGAAATGAAGAAGGGAAAGGGAGAGAGGGAGGCAAAGAATGGGGTCGAACCCCACGCGACTCTCGCAACGTAAACTTGCAAGACGAGAAATTCAAAACAGAGCACACAAGAAATATGTCCGAAGAAAAGCACGAAACAAAACGGTACAGCTGACGAGAGCATGTATTCAACGTGGCAAGACGCGCAGGACATGCGAATGGCAGGTTGCGATGGCGCGACTTTGCGCGCAAGAGAAGCAAGCGCGCATGTACACGCGCATCTCACTTGCGAAGCAACAAGTACAAGTGTGAGCTGCTCTCGCCTGGGGATCGGGTCTGGATGATAATGTTGCCTTCCTTGCCCACCACTTTGAAGGTTTCGCCACCGTCTTTCATCTAGACGTGACAGGGTCAAGGTGAGCTTGGAGCTCGAGGCGGCCCGCGAGGTGGGAACAATACACAGCAGATAAAGTAGCGCAGCACCCAAGCAGGCACAGACCTGGTGGGTAATCTTGCCAGTGTGAACGGAGCGACGTTCCATGCGGCTTTCACTAAAGGCAATCACAGCATCTCGCGTGTAGACGACGTCCTAAGTGTTCAGCAGCAAGTAAGAAGAGGCGCTGGGTGACATCACCCGGGCGCACGCGAGGCGCCAGACGACTTTCAAAAACCAGGGGGCTGACTGTAATCGAGGCGGACCAACCTGAGGCAAAGCGTCGAAAACAATTTTCTCAGGTTCGCCTGGGCGAGGGCACGGCTTGCCTTCACGGTCAACAAAGCTCGCCACATCTGCGCTCGAGCAACAAACAGTCAGGTGTTAGACTGCGAACGCTGGCAACAACTTGGAGCTGGCAAGGGGGCGCGGCGCATGGTACGGCGCAAGTCACTGGCGCCACAACATACTGGAGAAGCACAACATGAAGCGGTCCAGGCCAACTTGCGTGACGGCGGTCGCAAAGACGTCTTCACGACCCGACCTGACTCGGACTATTGTCGTAAAACACGTAGGAAGGGGCAGGGTGCACGTGATGAGGAGTTGTGATTGGTTCAGGCGGACAGCTACGTTGGGCAAAGTTTTGATTCGGGACTCGATCACGGGTCACACTCACCCCAGCCAAGATCAGCCGACATGTGCTTGGCCAGCTTTTCCGGTGGAAAGTTGGGATTGACAATGGCCAGAGCCTTGGAGCGGGTCTGCTTGTCGCGGGTGGCACCCACGCATAGCACAGGCAAGGGCTCGTCCGGGAGGACGAGCAGCTCCATCATGGGCGGGGGAAGGTCAAAGGGTGTTTGAAAGTCCTTGAGCTTCATGAATTTCTTGCGGGGCGCGTACCACTGCATCAGGAGCAGCTGGTGTGCAATGGCAACACAGAGGAAGGTGTAGTTGGTCACGGGGGTGACAGCAACGGCACACTTTTGTGCATTCTCGACAAGCTTTGTGGTTTTGAATCGGATCTCCTCGCCCGGTGGCACGAGCAACGAGTTGAGGTCGTGCACACAAACCAGACCCGAGCCTGAGGGGAGAGAAGGGCATGAGATCGAGCATTCACCAAAAGGGCTGCACATGAGAACAGGAGATCAAGGTCATGGCGTACCGGAGATGGACACCATCATGCGATCATCGTCCATGACGTATAGCCAGCGGCAGGGACGACGAGAAACTTGCACTAGCTCACGCTTGTCACCGCTCGTTTCGAGGACGTAGAGTCCAGTGGTTGCACCGACAATAATGTACAGGAGGGGTTCGCCAGATGAAGGCGTGTAGTGCCAGCTTGAGGCGCAGAGAACATCCAGAGGGCAGCCAGCAAAAACATTGGTCAGAACAAAAGATGAGCGGGCCGGGTCCGGCACGGTACTGCGGGGTGCCGGAGCCAGGTTGGGCCCGCTGGCGGCGGCAACGGCTTGACGTCGCGGCACCAAGGCCTCGTATGGCTTGACATCACGTTGTTGCCAGTTGTCGTACGGGTCCTCGTATTGCTTAGCAGCCCCAGCACCCATGTCATCATCAGGTGACAGGGTGTCCACGTTCAAATCTGAAGCCGGGGTACTGCGTCCCACCACCTTGGATTCCACGCTAAGATAGTTTCAAGGTGATGATGCGCGGCGACAGAGTCGAGTTGAGCCGAGTTGGGCAAGGCATCAGGCGCTAGTGCGTCGTTTAGCACCCGTCTAGCTGTAGAGCGAGAGCGAGAGCGAACAACGAACCGTTGAAGCTTGCTTTGGCCCGGCACCAGAGTGCTGCTGCCATCCAGTTCGGTGTCCTCTTGGTAAATGGCCTTGTCAGCATCTTGGCTGGCACCAGGGGCCGCTTCATAGCGAAAATGGCACAAAACATTTTCAGTTCAAGTGAAAAACAACACGACTGAAGGCGGATGCAGAGAAGATGTGGGTGGCCGTGCTTACCGCCCTGCATGCCAGTCACGAGCTGCTGAAGGCGCTTGGGGTTGTTGCGAATCTGCTTGAAGAAGGAGTGCTGTTGAAACACACGAGTTGAGTGATAGCGTTTGGTTACTTTCCAGCGCCATGTCCGTTTGCGTGTGTGTATGGACGGAGACAGCATCTCGTACCTTGGTCAAAGCACCTGCACTGGGACGCTTCTGAGGGTTCTTGACGAGGGTAGCCTTGATAAACTCGCGAAAGTCCTTGGACCATCGCGACTTGTCCGTCAGCTTGGGAGGAGGATTTTTGGGGATCAAGTAGAGGGCGCGCATGGGATGGAGGTCAAACCTGGAACGTAGCAGGACCAGCATGAGTGAAGCACGGCAAGGAACAGTCACAAAGAAGACAACCATTCACATGGTGTGGGCAATACGAGAAAAAGAACAAGTACAGGCAAGACCGGAAAGCGAGGCGCCCCGGATAGGCATGGCATACATTGGTGGCTGCATCTCGGCCATTTCGATGCAGGTGATGCCCATGGACCAGACGTCGCAGCGGCTGGTATAGCCATCCGGCCCCATCTGGTGAAGCGTGCAGCGCCAAAAACAAAAACAAAAAAAGAGCCGGTGAGACACACAATGAGTCATTCGGTCAGGCAGTTATAGCTGGCAGATGATTTGCAATGCTGTGATTGAACGGACCTTCATTTCGACCGCGATAATTTCGGGCGCAATCCAGTATGGTGTGCCGATGAAGGACTTGCGCTTGGCCAAGGTGGAGGTGAGTTGAGCAGAGACACCCAAATCTGCCAGCTTGACGCAGCCGTCCTCGGTGAGGAGAATGTTGCCACCCTGCAGATGCGATGGAGGGTGCAGAGGGGGTAGACACGGCAGCATGAATAAGAGAGCCGCCGCGGATTACGTGCGTGATTGAGGACGAGGGAGAGACCGAGTAACACTGTACGCGCTGAAATCTGAGGGCGGAATGGAGGCGGACCTTGATATCACGATGCACAAGGTGCGACTGATGCAGATATTCCAGGCCGAGGAGAGAGTAGAAGGTAATGTGAGCAATAACGTCTTCCTCGAGGGGAGTGCAGTTTTTGTTGTAGATGTCTGAGACTGAGCCGCCGCCGCAGTATTCCATGGCAATCCACATGGTGTGACCGCGTTGGAAGGCACCAAAGTAAGCCACAATGTTGTCGTGCTTGCACGATTCAAGCATGCGAATCTCGTTTTGCACATCCTCGAGCTCATCACCTGAGTCGCGACCGAAATGAGAGGAGCACGACATGTCAGCAGGGCAGGGAGACGAGGCAGGCGAGGAAAACAAAAGGGAGCCGCGTTGACCCACCATCCTCCATGTTGATCATCTTGACGGCTGCTGACTTGCCCGATTTGATTATACGAGCCTAGCGGGACATTTCGTTCCAGATGAAAGTTGGTGTGAGCGTGAGGTGCGTTGAAGAGGTGATGCACGCCCAGGCAAGCTGATAAACGGGACACTTTGTGCCACCACAGACTTGCACGAAGGTGAGAGGCATGGGGGCGCATGCCCATGGGTCATCAGGGGGGAGCTACAGGCCCAGGTCAAGGGCAGCAATGTGGGCGCTGAGACGCACCTTGTGAACGCTGCCATAGCTGCCGGAGCCAATCTGCTTGATCAGCTCAAATACCGATTCCGGATCGCGACTGGAGATGTGGGGCGTGGCCATGATGGCGCTTGCGTGTGTGCGCGGCGGGAGTCGACACTCGCCCGCCCGCAAAATCTGTGCATTGCCAGGTAGGAGAGAGCGGGCACGGAAACCCAACCAGGCCAAGGAACGAAAGTCCAACAACGGCACATCAAGAATCCATGTGAGTCTCCCAGCCGATTTCAATCCCCGCACAACGTCGTCATCAAGGTCCCCTTCAACACCACGGGTGCAAACGATAGCGCTGCGCGAGCCAGCGACGCGCGCGCGCACACACCGGCCCCACCCCCCTTCTCTCTCTCTCTCTCTCTCTCTCATGCATCTCTCTCTCTCTCTCTCTCATGCATCATCTCTCTCTCTCTCTGTTGACCTTTTTTTTCCGCAGGAACTGACTGACCGATGCTACCAAATGGCAGTCTCGGCCCTCCCCTCGACTCGTCGGTCGGGTGGCTTGCAAGCGCAGCAGCATGTCAGATTGTATTGTCAGCTCATTTCATGCCTTTTGGCGCTGGAGAGGGCACTGCGTTCTCTGTGTTGATTGTTTCTAGCAACAGCGCGAAGAACACATGCACACACACACTGGAACGCTCCGCTCTCGGGCCATCATCATCAGCATCATCACCCTCGTGGACAATGTGTAGCCATCCACAGATTGGACCTGGTGGATGAAGTACTGGTATTTTTCTTGCTAGCTGCTAGTGCAGCGACAACATCAAGGATTTGTGTGAAGTGATCATGCATCGTCGCGATGCTCTCCGTTTCCCCTGCCGTTCGTAGTCGGTGCGAACCCAGCTTGTTTGCTTCGCACCACCCCGTAGCTGCCGCTGCGTCCTCGTGTGGACGCTCCTTTCAGAGCGAGGGCACGTCTCGCTGGCCCAGCTGTATCAGTCAGGCTCGCTCTGCCACCGGTGCGCCCGACACCACAGCTTCACCCGCCAGCTCCTTTGCCATGGAGCTGGATCGTGCAGAGCCCCCTGTCAAACGGGCCAAACAGCCGGCCCCGGCCATCGAGCGCCAAGGGACCCTGGGGTTGAAAAGGCGTGCCGACAGCTTGGATAGTGATAGCGAACTCTTGGCTTGGAGTGCCTGCCCCACATCGGACGCCTCCTCAGTTGATTGGCGTGAGAAGCGCTTCAGGCCTGTGAGCATGCCGGCACCGCGATGGCCTCGCACCGCTGCTGGCGCAACACAGGCAGTGCCAAGCGCGAGTGCAGGTGTGGGTTTGGATACTGCAATGAACGCTCCGACTGTCAATACCTTGACCGAGCCGCCCGCCATCGAGGAGCTCGATGACCAATGTGTCGAGCTTGAGGCGGAGCCGTCTTTGTTGAGCATGTTGCAGCATCAGACCATGGACGTTCTTCCCCGTCCCGTCTATGAATCCATGTACGTGCAGTCGAGCTCGCATGCAGACTTTTCATGCTTGTCAATGTCCATCTGTATGGCTCATATTGCCTGTCGTCGTCGCTTCGATTACAACTCACGCTGCATGTGTTTTGCCATGTGTCACGCACATTTCTCTTGCGTTGGGGTGTGGTGTAGTAAGCAAGATATGCAGCTGCAGCAAGAATGTTATGCCCTGGTTCCCTATGAGTCACGGGCGGCCTTTCTTGCCCGAGCAGCCGACTATGTCAACCCAGGGGAGGCAAGGCCCTCATCGATGGGAGATGACAACGTAGATGAAGAGAATGGCGAAGCTATTTTGGCAGCTGACTGGTCTTCACGGTCATCTGGCTCTCCCACCTTTGAGGACGCTGCAGTGGTGGAGCACATCTTTGCCGACAGTTGTGGCAGCATGGAGGTGGATGCAGAGACATAACGTTTGTCACGACTGATTGATTGATCATCACCTCTTTCCTTCCTTCCATCATAAAACCTTGTTTGCTGCTGCTGCTGTATTTTGAGTGATACCCATTTGTGCGCCAGGCGTATAAGAAGCCACTGAGTGGCTTGAGCACGCTCCAAAATTCAATACTGTATCTTTCGTTCCATTCCATTGTGCGCATGGTAGATCAGGTAATTATTGGGGGGAAAGAGAGAGAGAGAGAGAGAGAGAGAGAGAGAGAGAGAGAGAGAGAGAGAGAGAGAGAGAGAGAGAGAGAGAGAGAGAGAGAGAGAGAGAGAGAGATTTAGGAAAAGGATTGAACAGAAACAGAGGTGAGATGAAGTAACGGGCAAACTGTCAATTTCTTTGAAAGGCGACCATTTGGTTCGCGCAACGCTGCAAGCCGTCACAGCGTTGCGCGGCCCGCGTTAAAAACTTTGGGATGGCGCAATCTCCGACCTCGTCAACCAAAGGGAAAAGGCTGCTCCTGAATGGAAGAAAACAACCTGTTTACCGGGCCTCGTGGCGGTACCACTTGGTCAGGGGGCCCTTCTCGGAAAAGAGCTGGCAATGGCAGCCATCGGGGACGAGACGGCCCTCCTGACGCAGCTTGTCAAACTCATCGCGATCCCACTTGGTGAAACCCCACTTGCGGGAGACAATGATGAGCTGACGGCCAGGGAACTTCATCTTAGAGCGGCGCAGGGCCTCAATGACGTGATCCTTGTTGGCGTCGCGCGAGCGCACCGACATGATGGGCTGGCCGATACGGACACGAGCCACCTTGCCAGCGGGCTTGCCGAAGGCGCCACGCATACCGGTCTGCAGACTGCACATCAGAATGGGACCAACAACAACGGAGAGACAGCCATGAGACACGGCCGCAGGAAAGGAATGCAATATGATCCAAGACAATCAGACGACTAGTACCACGTACCGATCAGCACCGGCGCAGGTAAGCATCTTGTTGATGCGGACAACGTGGAAGGGGTGGACGCGGATGCGAATGTGGAAACCTTCCTTGCCGACCGTCTTGACAAGGTACTTGTTGCAGCAGATACGGGCGGCCTCAAGAGCCTCCGACGAGATCTGCTCAATTTCGTTGGACACCATGTGCACGCACAGAGGGAAGTCCATCACGTGGGCGCGCTTGCGACCCAGATCATAGATGCGGATCTTGGGGTCAGGGACAGCGCGGACGAAACGCGACTTGGGGTACGGCTTGTTCTTGCAGTAGCGCGAGCAACGGGCGGGACGGCGACCCATCTTGACGGTCTATCGATACAGAAAAGGGCAGCCAAGGAGCAGGCATCATTGAGTTTACACGTGCGTCTTCATTTGATCCATGTGCTCCAGACCCAGATATGCATGCAACAGTATGACTTGACAGCACGTAGAATGCATTGGGCAGCCACAAGTCCAGACACATGAAAAAGACTCCGCACGCAGGCATATGCACCCTGTCTGTCTGCCAAATGTGCACCACACTTCCCCTCCTCGCTCCACAATCATCCATTCATCCATCCATGCTGTCAGCGCACAAAGATGGCGCGGGCAGGCCCGCCTCTTGACTAGCAGCGCGGTGTATGCGCAGCCACGGTAATGAGCCGCTCTGAGGCCGAAGGGCCCATGCAACTGCAGCACTGGGGCGAGGGGGCCTGCCGCGGGCCGACACTTTAACATGCTGGATCACCCTGTCTTGTCTGGGGTCAGGGCAGGCAGCGGCGAACAGGGCATGCTTTGCGTCGCGCACCAAAGGTCACGTCCGGACAAAAATGCAAAGACCTTGAGGTCAAAGACCAGTTTGCACAATGTGGGGATGTGACGTGGGCGACGGGGGGCATGCCCTGTTGCGCGCGCGCTCCGCCCGACGGCGCCCCTTCCCCGGTGATGATCGAGGCCAGCATTGTCTCACACAGCAGAAGAGAAAGGCGGAGGAGGTCTGCGAGTGATGGAGGTGTTGACCATCGTCATGATGCGCTCACCTTCGCCAGTAGCGGTAAAGTGGCACAGGCTCACACGGGTCTCAAACTTGAATTGTTTTTGCCTCGTTTTTACCCCGCATGGCCATTCCAGAAGCAACACGCACGAGCACCGTGTTATACATACCATCGCCAACAGATGTTCTCAATACCATCCTAGAAAGTAAAATAATTTATTTTCAAGGCGAATCCTCCTTTTGTCAGATAAAAAGCGTCGTGATCACTTTGTTTGTGGCACGAGAGAGAGAGCGAAGAGACACACGACGAAGATCTCCCTCTGTTTTTTTTTTCTCTCTCTCTCTCTCTCTCTCTCGTTGTGCTATTCCTTTGTGTCTTTGTACACCTCTCTCTCCTCCCAACCAATCTCTCTCTGTATTTTTTGTTTTTTTTGGCTGATCGGCATTGGGTGCTGGTGACTCCTGATCGCTCTCGCAAGTAAGACTGCCATTTGGCCCTCGGTCTGCGCTCCTCTGTCTTTTACGCAGGCATCAACTTTGACACGAACATACAGGAGAGAGAGAGAGAGAGAGAGAGAGAGAGAGAGAGAGAGAGAGAGAGAGAGAGAGAGAGAGAGAGAGGGAGGGCGACAAGCACATCTACCATATTGAATGGTAAAGCTCACACCTCATCATTGGTTTCCGTCTCTAGGTGCGTGACTTCATTGCATTTGGTGTGCGCATGTCCCACAGGATCAAGAGTAGCGATGGCTGCCGCTCCCTCCACTTCCAACTTGCTGCAGGTCAGCGTCACCAGCTCCACTGCTGCTGATGGGAACTACAGCGCCGACTTTCGCGTACGTCGATTCTGATTCCAAACCTATCCCGTGTTCGCCTTTGCTCGAAATCAAACCGAAACCTCGCATCGGATGGCTTGGCATGGCCATTCATTGACCCTCGTGCGCCCCTCTCGATTTTATCACCTCTCATGCCAGGCCACGATGAGCCCCGCGACGACGACCTCCACGCACGTTCCCAACGCTTGTCCCTACACACACAAGCCCTTCGTGTGGCTTTGGCCCACCAGTCAGCGCAAGTAGGTCGCGATTCCAAAATCCGCAATCTGCAATCTTGTGCTTCTCCCGCCTCTATAAGCCATTCGTGCGCTCTGGCGCCCCTTTCCATCTTGGTCGGCGACCCCCACTCGCTGCACGCAACCACCTCATCAACATGCCATGCGTCTGGTTCAGGAGCTATTGCTCGGGGTGTGGGGATGTCGTCTCCGCAGGTGCGCTTGACTCAAAGTTCAGCCTCATTCCCAAGGGCATGCACCTCTGCCCACGCTGCGTCAGCTACGAAATTCCACGCATCTGTGGTTTGCAAGAATGCGACTGGTTCCACGGCTGTCTCTCATCAGAGGAGGCTGAACGTCGCCTGAAACGTGACGACTCGGCCCTCGGTGATTTTTTGGTACGTGGTGGTACAAGGTTGAGGGTCATGCGGCCGTCTCGCACATCTCGTACGCTCGCGCATTCACTTTGGTCCCACTGCGCCGCCCCATCAGATTCGCCTGTCACACAACGAGGAGCATGGTGGCAACCACTTTGTCCTCTCCTGCCGGTCGAGTCCCTCCAAGGTGACTCACGTGGTGCTCATTGGCGAGGCGGGCTCCTGGGGCCTCAGTTTCGCCAAAACTTTCCAGACCATCCAGGAGCTCATCACAGAGACTATGAAGGGCGATGCCATTGACCGTGCGGCCATCGCCGACCGTGAAACCGTTCATGGCAGTTGCCCCAGCTGCACCATGGCCATGGCCAACAATGCAGACCTTTTCTGCTGCAACTGCGGCGCCCGTGTCCGCTCGACCGAGGCTGCGATTGATCATTACGATCGCGTGGGTCGCGAGTACATGTCGGCTGAGTTTACAGCCTAGGCAACCAGACTCGTGCGTGTCCTAACCCCTCGTTTTGCCAAGCCCAAGACAGTGTGTGTGTGTGTGTGTGTGTGTGTGTGTGTGTGTGTGTGTGTGTGTGTGTGTGTGTGTGTGTGTGTGTGTGTGTGTGTGTGTGTGTGTGTGCGCGCGCGCGTGCGTGTGTGTTTTCATGTTTTTATGCCTCCTATATATGCAAGATCGTTTGTCCAGTCGCGCCTGGTCTAGTCACGCCGGTGTTGGAGCAATTCAGCACACCGGCTTGCCATGTCCGTCGGGCGTGGTGATTTGTGTGTGCGTGTCTGTTTTTGTGTCGCTTCTTGACCGTCTGTTGGCGCTCCTTCCCACATTGCATACCTAACATCTTGACTGCGCGTGTCCCTCATACGAGAGGGCGTGCCGTGCCACTGTTTTTCTTTTCCTTTTTTTCAAATGTGACATGCCTGGCACATGGGGCCGTTTGATGGATTGCACCCTTTTCGGTTTTTCTTTGTTTTACATTTTCGATATATTTGTACATTGGGTGAGAGGGGGGTTTCCTGCCCCCTTACCGTGCAACACCCAGTACCTCAACCTTTTTGTTTCTCTTTCACATTTGGGATCCACGCTCTCTGTTACATCTCGTCCGAATTGAGAGCAACATGCATTCAAGGAGGCGATGTTCAAAACGAAGACTCAAGTTCACAGCCCACCTTCTGGACTAGCGACTTCTTTTGATTCACAGACAGCACATCGAAAACATTCATGCTTGACTAAAATGTTCGGTGTGAAAAAGTGAATTCACCCCACCTCTCAGCCCTCGTTTCTTGATTAGCTGACTTGATGCAAAGACCAGAGAGGGAGAGGGAGAGGGAGAGGGAGAGGGAGAGGGAGAGGG